AAGGTTTCATTAAAGGAAAGGAAGTCCAGCTGGCGAGGGATGCAGGCAGTTTGTTTAGCATTGGACCAAAACTCAGATGGACAACGCTCACAGTGAAGGGAATCTGGAAGAGAAAAAAAGAGGAGGTAAGAAAAATAAAACACAAAGAGCTACATTAAGGTTGTCTTATAATTTCCTCACCAGTTTGATTGCTAATCTCCCCTTCAGCACATTGGATACAGTCAAAGCAGCAGAGAGGTCCTCCTTTCCTGTTGGCCTTTCGGGTACCTGGGGGACAGCTCTCACTGCACACTGAAACAGGTACCTGCACAAAAATCTCAATGTTCAACATTCTCAATGACATAGTCTGGTAAATCGACAAATCAACAGCAACTTTGTTAGTAGACATGAGACGACTTGTTGATCTGACTACCTGGTTGGATCCTGTGCTCCACTGAATGGTTGATTCATTAAGGTGGAGGTCAAACCCGTCCACACGACCGATCAAAACAAGTTTGAGTGACCCCTCGGGGGTTGCTTGCCAGTTGACAAGGTCGTACTTTGCTGGAATGTCGGCACCTTGGAAATAAAACATATCTCCTTGTGGTGTGGTGAAATTCAATTTGTTCAAGTGCTGCAACAGCTGAAAGTAGAAAATGTTGAAAAGTCTGTTAACATTTAAAATTCTGTATACTGTTTACAAAAGATGCATTGATGATATTAAAAGACCCTTGTGAATAAGATGACTCAGGGACAGTACTGTTTACCTCTTTGGGTTTTATGTGTTTTGGAGAAGAGCAGGTGGAGCTGTTGTTTCCGGATGAGCTTTCTCTATCAGGGCAGGAGAGAAGGCTGTGAAGGGCATGAGCTGCAGCATAAACAGCAAGGTAGACGTTATATGCCACCCTAAGCTGGGAGATATCAGTGAAGGGATTCTTCACTCCCTCCAGGGACTCTGTCCCACTGCAGAGTGGCAGAGAAACTTTTTGAGAGGACCCTTTAGCAGGAAAGAGAGAAGCTGCATGTGATCGTGTAGCTCCAAGACTGCATCCAAACTCCATTTCCCAGAATTCCCATAAGAATTTATCATCAGGACGACGCATTGGGTGCAAACTTCTGAGGTAATTTTCAAATCCGGGTATTGTTGAACTTCGAATGGCCACACCAACAACACCACTTGCCACTTTGGAGATGACAAGATCTTGAAGAAGATCATCACTGGTGCTCCAAGCCTCACTGGCCAGAAACTGTCTGTCAGTCACCTACAGTAAAAGGACACTGAAATAAATTACGACAAGAAAAATATATGTCTTTGTTTAGTGATGAATCCCTTAGTCTATACAAATTTTCACAGCGGTTGCTCACATTTATCTTGGCCAGTTCCAGAAACACTTTCTTAATCTCTGTATACCAGCAAAAGACCAGGATCACCCTGGCAGTCGAAGCTTGAATTGTGAGGGCTACACGACTGGCATCACTCACAATAGTTTCTTTAAGGACAGTCTCTATGAATTCGAAACACACCCCTTGCCCCCGGGTCTCTTTGTGAAATGCCTGGAGACCAAAACAACAAACATGTTCATGCATATATTGTTTCTTATTATATATAAAGGATATCCATGCAATACTTTTTTTAAGGCGATTCACTGTAAAATATCAAAGACATACACCTGTATTGCCAGATGGCCATAATCCTTATTTACAATCACAGCTCCTATCCAAGTCCAGCGGAAGCGAATGGCCATTCGTGCCATGGCCCGGGCTTGGTAAATATCACTGGGGATTGTTCTGAAGACGTTAGGAAAGTTAAGCCTGTCACTCAGACAAGGGCAGCTTGCCATGTAGCTGATCTGAAAGAAAGATGCTGAAATATAATTTTGACACATGCTTTTACAGCAATAGCACCATTGTATCTTTAATCAAAATGTTTTCAAATAGTATCAGCCTCTTGATGTATAAAAAAATTTAAAATAAAGGTTTATTTCTTTAGGTAATGAAACTCACCAGCGGCACAGAGAGAGGCCCCAGGACCCTGGACAGAACTATGGTTGATGTTGACGAGGCAGTACCAATGAGCAAAGGAACAGGCTGACCAGCTGCTTATAGCATTAGACATATAATTGCATGACGTTAACCTTTTTATACTTTAATCATATGAGTTGTTGTTGTCATCGACATGGTACACGTTCACTGCATACTTTATTTTATCAAGTTATACCTGCTGTCTCTCCAGGTTGTCCATAAGCTGCGGAACGAGGCGTAGAGGGTGTTAAGTTGCAGCTCTGTGCGTCTCCTCCGACCAGTGACAGTGCAACTTGCTGAGCCCAGTAGGAGCTGGCACAGCTATCAAGTATACGGTAGCCCAGCTTCACTCCTGGTAGCAGGGTGCTGTTTCGATTGATTTCCTCCACCGCAAACATCATAGTATATGCATTTTTTAATGATTCTAGATCTAAACTGAGACCACAGGAGATGAAATTAATTAAATAAACTACAATATCAGTGAAATATATATTCACCATGGATATGTATATAAAAACAGCAAATATCAAAAAATGTCATTGAGACCAACATAAAGGTATTACAGCAACATTTGTTGAAATCATTCTACTATACTTCTAAATTATACTAAAATTTGCTTATCTCAAATATATGCAACTTTAACATTTTTGTTAATAATGAAAGAATTATAAAACACAATGCATATTATAAACATTATATAACATCATAGCTCAACATTTCTGTATTTTAACAGAAATATATGAGCATGACAATACATATATATATTAATTACAACATAATAATACATGTTGGGTTTACCCTGTGCAAGGTTCATAATGAGGCAGCTTGGTGAATCCATGCTCTACAGCTGAACTTTTGTAATAAAGATTAAAAAGTCCACCAATAATCACATCTCCATCCTGGGAGAGGCTCTTGTTGATCGGCGCTCCCCACCTGGAGCACACTATCGCCTGAACCACCTCCAGCCCTGTGTGTCGGTCCATTACACTGAGAAGCAGCAGGGACAGAGCTGAGGGCGACCACGGAGTAAAGAGCCAGGGGAACCAAGACATCGATGCAGCTGTTCAGAACATTTAACACATATAGGTTATCTGAAAGTCAGAATATGCATCAATACATTCAGTCTGTGTAAAACACCAGTCACATCCAACCTACACCATGAAACCTAACAACAGCGTGAATTCAGAACAAATACCTCAGAGACAAAATTCAACAGCTCCTGTTACCAAAGACAAATCCCATTAAATGTCACAATCCAACATCATAGCCTCATGTCAAAAACAGAGAACAGAAACATGTTTAACTTGGTTAAAAAGCTACTATCACAAGGTAAATAGATAACTCTGAATATGACCTGAACATAACCACTCCCCTACTCTGCACAAGTGAAGTGTTGTTGTGAATATTTATAATAGGTGTAAAGCCTTTTGCAAGGAAGTAAAACTGATGACACACAAGCCAAAATTACTCCTCTCTAGAGTGATGGTGGAAAAACAATTGAATGCTTCCAAGTGATTGGCATGTAAGGTGTGTGTGTGTGTGTGTGTGTGTGTGTGTGTGTGTGTGTGGTGTATATTATGTTTCCTATAGATAAACTACTGTATGATCTCATTCAAAAGACCCCAGGTAACTGAGATACTGTACCTCAGGATAAACAAGTGAAAGTGCCAGAAGGCTGATTATCTTTAACCTAAATGAGCTGAAAAGTGGAGATAAAACATGAGATGTCTAAAGAATATTGTACTATGATTGATCCAAACAACTTAACAAAGTGCGGCAGTCTGGTATGGGGAATTGTATGCCCAGAGCAACAGGTGTGCTGTTTGTCAGCTCTATTATACAGTAATTTCATGAGCAATTACACCCCATTATGGTTAAGGTGGCATATGGGGAAAGATTAGGCTGTTTTTGAGCTTGAGCTTCATTCTTGATAAATTATCTGTCGAATGTTCTGTGTAGCATTTTGAGTGAAACAGAAAATAAACATGGAATTTGTTGAAATCAAATATTTCAATATTTTATTGCATTGGTAGGAAAATGCTCAGAGTTCGCCGATGAGCAACAATACAAAGAAAATAAGATGGCGTAACACTGTAACAATAAAAAACAAACTGCTGCTTTGGCCACCCTCCCCACCTCAGCTTGGCCCACTGTAGTTGTCACTCTGTTTTTTCATTTCATTAAGTTATACAAAATAAAACAACCATAAGCAACAAGAGATTATTTTTGCAGTCTGTATCAAAGCAATTATAAAAATAAAACCTTTAAACTCCAAATCTTTCAAATTTGCAATCATGTTTTCAAATTCTACAAATCATAGAGATCAACAAGTCCAAGCAAGGAAGTTAACGTACTGTATTGCACCTAATGCAAAACAAGCCTACATCCTCGGTTGTTTCCAATGCAGCTACTTGTTCTGTGCAAATGTTGTTAGGCGATGCAACATCTATTGTATGAATTGGTGCATAGTCATGCTTGACATGTTCACAGGTAACATGCACAAACAAAAATGTACAGTTAGAATTGGTTCTCAACTAAAACCCATCTCAGATTTAAAACAATGACACATTTACACATCACACATAAAGGAATACCACTGAAAAGAGAAGGAAGACTTACATCTTTGAAAAGATCAACCCCATCTATTAAAAGTAGCTGTTTGATTATACTACACATTCAAATGATACAAAGAAAGACATTCCCTCTCTGCTTAAAACCCAACTCTTCTTTTTTTTTTGCTTCATAGTCAATGTTCGCAGTTTGAAAAGTACATCACAGGGGCAAAGATAACAAGTATCTGTACAATCAGTCTAGGAAGCCATTTGGAGGGAATCAAAGTTCCCAAGTACATTTACACATTAAGCAGAATACAGACAATACACTGCCAGACTAGACCATTCACTTGAATAGAGGACATTTCATACAAGAAATTCATGCTGTCAGATCCAGCTATGGATGACATGTGATGTTTCACATACATTGTACAGACTATATCTTTCTCGAGAAATTGCCCAGAATAAGATTTATTTAACTGTCATGATGGAAACCTACTGGTCTTTGAACATGGGAAAAAACAATGGCTAGTATTTATTTCCTTGGCTTTTGGTGTAATTGAACGTCATCAAGGATCACAGCTTGATCATTAATCTCATTTTAGGTTATGGTCAGATCTAGAGTCTGAGCAGAAAGTAGACCTCAGGCTCTGACTCAGAGTGGTTGGAGTCAGCAGATGGAAGAGAGTCATCTGTGTAGAAGTGATCTCCATAATGATCCCCATTTCCATTACGCAATGATGTACAAGCTCCCTCAGGAAGTCCCCTGTCTTCCAGCTGACCAAGGTAGCCTGCTATGTAAGAACCAGTCGAGTGTCTGTTTGCTGGTGGATTTTGTGAGGCTGGTTTATTCCTCAATACCACCCCACCAATGCTGGCATTACTATTGACCACCTCACCTGCCCGAGGCTTTAGAGCCTCTTGCAGTCTTTCACGAGCGCGGATGTTGATGTGACGCACTCGGCTTTGGCTCCGAGAAGATAGGCGCCGGGTAAGGAGTGGAGGGGAATCATCTACATCCCTGTGAACAACAGAAGCTACACTTGCTACCTGTGGCTGAGGCAGTGGGGTTTTTGCTTCCTGATGCAACTGAGGAGGCTGGGGTCCATCTCTGTCACTGTCATCACCCTCTAGACTGACCAGCTTACGAAGCTGTTCTGTAAGTGGATCACAAGACTGTGATTGGAAAGTTACTTCCCCCATGGTGCCCATCCTCTTTTGCTTCCTCATATGGGGAGTGATGAAACTGCGACTTATAATGTGGTATTTGCTCTGGAAGTTGCATGATATATCTTCAGAGGTCAGATCTCCCAGGGACTTGGACTTACATGGGCTGGGGGCTGTGGGGTCTATGGTACTAGACTGGGGTCGAGTAGATATAGGGCCTACATTTGAGTGGAGAGAATCTGTGGATTTAGGGTGTGAATGGTGTTTTGTAGTGATGGGGGAAACATTTTTGTTCCAGGAATGAGGGGTGTATGATTGTGTTTGACTTTGACAGTGTGAGTGGGTGTTTTGAGGAGTTAAAGACTCTGATGGGGGCGTAATGCAGTCATAGTCCAGGTGGCTGTACACTGCATCGCACTCTGAAGAAGGGGGATATAGGCCTCTCTCTCTACCAATGTTTGTGGACACAGCAGATTGGCCAGGGAGGCTTTCAGAAGAGGAGATACTATTATAAAAGCACTTTACTTGCTCCATGTCCATCTGTTTATACCCTAGCCTATCTTGATGGGACCTGTTTATGATCTGGCTGCCGCTATAGCTCCTCTGTTGTGTGTAGGAACTCCTGAAGTCTCTGCTGTTGTTAAAGGCATCAGAATTGCTCTGAGGAACAGGGTAGCTGTTCAGACGCAGTGGACTAGGGTTGGAAGGTCTAGAGCTGATGGGTCTGTGGAAGGAAGAAGCCTGGGAGAGGTGCTGGTGTTGGTGGTGATTGGCCAGCTGATAGGAAGGTTGATTCATTGGAGTGGGACGCTGTAAAAATGCATGCGGCGGGTACTGCTGTTGAGGATCACGGTATGACAAAGGCTGTTTTTGTTGGGAGTAGTTGGGAGTGGACTCATGGTTTTGGTAAATAGCATGCCGTTTGGTTGGACTTAGGGGTCCCTCCCATTGGTTGCTATGTTTCGGCGAGGTCATCATCATATCCAATGGATCCTCATCAACATTTATCTCTACTTCTGCAAAAGCATTTCCAGCTGAGTCATGGAGAAACTGGAAACAGTTACTGTTTACAGAGGAGCTTGTGTACCTTTTAGAAGTACTTTGATCTATGCATGGTACTGATGCTAGTGCTGGTGGATCATACACTTCCTCGTACACACTCTCCTCTGCCTCCTCAATTTCTTCCCTCCCGCCCCTCTTTCTGTTCACGTCATCCCAGCCCAGATTGTACCCTTTGCCTAAACCCTGGACCACCTTGGCCGGAGAGGACCCCAAGCTATTTAAAGGTGTGCTCTCCCTCGTGTCCGCCTGAACATGGACCGTCTGCTTTCTCAGGTTGTACACTGATACAGGCAACAGCACCTCCTCATCCAGAATGGTGTAGACCTCTTCAAGCTCCGCGGTTTCTGGGCTGGAGAGGAGAGCTGGAGAACGTGCTCCTGCCTGGGAAATCTTGCGCGGTGATCGGATTTCATGATTTGTTTTTTCAGCTACTTTTTGGGGACTTAAGTGGTTCTTGTTAGTGATGGTCTTCATAGGTGACCTTAAATCTTGTAGTGTGGTAGGGGTGGTAGGCCTGTAGTTTGAATGACGGATAGGGGTATGATCATGAGGTAATGTGTGTGATTCGTTTTGTTCAATAGTGCTTTCAAACTGACCAATCAGAGCAGATATAGAGCCACATGTTTCTTGCTCATTGCCCAAAGACACAGCATCAATGAGTCTGGAGATACTGCTGTCATGCAAAGAGCTTGGACTCTTCAGATCACAGTCTCTACTGATAGGGGAAAGAGGGGGTAAAGAGGAGGGGGCAGAGGATGAGGATGAGGAGATTGAAGGTGCAACTGTGAATGGTGTGCTGTTTGATGATGTTTCTGGTTTATGTGATCTCATCTGGCTGTTCCTGGAAGACGAGACAAAACACTTTTTCTCTGCTCCTGTGGTGATGATTTTTGATTTGACTCTGTTGTCTTCTGACTGGTAATTGGCGTAATCCTCTTCCTTTCTTACATTGCCTCCACCAATAACCAGATAAGAAGCCTCCCCTGATTGGTCAAAGTCTTTTTTTCTGTTGATGTATGTCTTAGAAGGGGAAGAGATGTTTGGTCCAATAGAAAATGAGGATTCTATGAAAGGGTCCAAAGAGGAAGACCTGGGTCTGTTGAAGGGGCAAGCTCCTGTGGACACAGATAATTGAACAAAGAGATTAATAAAGATAGGCTTATATATACACCATTTGATGTAGAACACCAAGCCAACCAACAATTAAATGACAACAACTAACAGTCCAGCCAATACAAAGCAATAGCAATACACAGACGAATGGATCACCAAGTACAACTGTGAAGGTGAAGCTGGAAAATGAGGCTGAGGAGGTTAAAACAAAAAGAAGCCATGTTTGAGGACATCAGATTAGGAAAGAGATGGTCAAATGGGATTGGTTTGGTCAAATGGGATCAAAAGACACAGCAATATATTTCTCATACCACTTTCGGACAAAATACACTGGGTGGACGCAATACTGGTATGTTTTTGGACGATGCAACCTTCAGACAATACGTATTTTAGATTACCTGCTGGAATATCCTAGTCAGTTCTCTACTATAAAAAAGCACAGCAAATGAAGATGGGACAGAAAAGGCATGTTAAGGTATCATGGAGAGTAGGCTGTAGTATGTCAGTTCACATGGTTATTGTACATGGATTTTAGATAGTTGTAGTAGAATAAGTAAAGCAAAGGAGTGAAATTTGAAATTAATTAATGTTAATTAATGTGAAAAACAAGTCAATGCAAAATGCTGCTTTAAGACACACCAAGCGTTTCATCACAAAGAAAGTAACACTTAAAGAAATTACCGCACAACTGTTTCCAAAGCCAATAGTTAATGCATCAGATTGCTGTGACTTGGTTTGTGTTAGTATCATGAATCGTACAAATGCCTTATTCTTAGTAATAAATGGACGTAATTTGGGTGTATTGGCATAATTCCAAAAGTACTTAATTCTTTGACTGTGATGATGAAAGGAAAATACCCACCGATGACCGTGTCTGAGCCCATATCACGTTGTTCCTTGTCTGGGGAGCAGAGGGATAGCTGCCCTTGCAGAAGCCTGTCTAAAGGCATGGAGATAGGTCTGTGGATGAGGGGGCCTCGTGGCTCGTAACGTTTCTCCACACCTACTTCCTTCCCTGACATGGCCTCTCCTCTTGCTCCTGCCCCTGTGTCGTTCTTTTGGTCTGATATTGAAGCCACTGACTCTGACAGCCCCATCTTGGTCTTCTTCCGACCCTTTGCTGGGGCACTGTTTGTGCGTCGCAGGAGGTGATCACTGATTGAGCGTTTCCGAGGGCCACCGGAGTTGGTATCCATAGAGGACTTGGAAGAACGGCTAAACAAACCCCGGATACCTCGCAGCTGATGACCCTGAGGGCAGTAGGAACGGAACAGGAAAGAAATAAGAAGTGGAAAAAAAGACAACAAGAAAGAGGCGAGACATGCTCAGAAACACATTATCAACCAAGGTGCACTTCAGACAAAGACTGATCAAAACCTTTTCACACATTACAGTTTGAAATTAAAGTGTCAATTTTCATGAAAACATCAAAAAGACATCAAGTACTCGCAGCTAATAATAACAATTGCATGCTTTTAAATGCATTGCCTATAGATGGCACCCTTACTCCTTAAGGTAACACAACAAACAATCTGCAAGAAGCCGTTGAGGATTATGAATGCATGCTTACATTGCAAATGATTCTGTCTTTGTTGAAAATGAGACAACCTCGGTTGATTTTTTTTTTTTTTGTATTTTCATAATGAGCTTAATAGCAAACTGTATTCCTCAGTGGTTCAATGTAACACACAAAAAAAGTCATTTGAGATACGGCTGAACACAGTCTGCACTTTAGCATCATGCATTGCTGTTTCATGCAGCACCACACAGAGCCTTAGGGCATCAGGATACCTTGTTAGATCCTAGAAAGTGCATTATGGTAAAGCTGGGGTTCAGGACTAGAGGACTCCACTAGAAAAACAAAGGATGGGGCTTAAATGGATTCATGTGTTGAGGGATACACATTTCTTTCTGTTTGACAAAAGTGGGTCACAGGGGGAATGCTACAATAAAGACCAGAATACAGCACTTACCTTTCCATAGACATCATGCACTGACACATGCACAAAGATGGAAGCCTCAGTCAGCCCCTCCAAGTAAACATGTCTGTAACCTGTTGTTAGGGATGAAGAGAGAAAGCATGTGAGTGAGATAGAGTGAGCGATAGAGTGAGTCAAAGAAAGATGTGGGTGTTTGTCAGACTGATGTTTGCGTGGTAGTTGCCTGCGGAGAGGGCATTGGGAGTTCAGGGACTACTCTGATGGATGTAAACAACAAAAATAACCCACCAACCCAAAGGTCTTTTACTTTACAAATCATGGCTCACTAGATAACTTGCCCCACAGCCATAGCAATGCCAAAACCCTAAAGTGAAATCATGTGTTTAATTGAGAGTGAGTCTGGCTGTCTATTTGTGTTAAATAGCAGGACTATAATGATTGTTACTTGCAGTGACAAATTGTACCCCCTCTTAAGTTCAGGTCATTTACACACAAAACACTGAGGAATTCTGCACATACCAGGCATCAGGCTGCTGAAGGCAACAGTCCGTTGACCAATAAAGTCCCTTCCAATTGGGTCATGGTCCCAGACAAGAAAACGCACCAAAACCACCTCAGCCATGTGAAGTGTAAAGGACAGAGTCTCCTCCCATACTGGATTAAAACCTGAGGAAAACACACATATAGCTTTGTTTCATTATAATGTGGATGTGTTTCATCAGTATCATCAAAACATATATAGAGTATACAAGACAAAAAAAAATAAGAAAGACGGAGATAGTGGTAGTGATGTGTAAAATGATGTATTTCATGAATCAATGCCCTGCACACTAATCTTATAATACTGTTGAGCTCCCAGGGATCTATCACCTTTTCCCAGAGGAAGCTTCACCTCTCGCCTGCCGGGTTCCCTCGGAGAGGTGACAACAGCAGACTCCTTCGTCCTGCTTCTTTTATGCCTCTAATTAAATAATCGGACTTTTCCTCCCAGCATTGCTCTACAGCCATAAAGTCAAAACAAATTTGAAGTTTGCAGAGACCATATTTAGAATAGACTATGTTCTATAGTATGTAAAGTGTAATATATAATATAAAAGTGTGGCTGACCCGATTATCCAATACTCCAATACTTAGTTAGATCATTGGTCAATTATCAGAGCCCTAGATTAGATTGAACTGGGTTAATTTCATCTATATTGTAAAACTGCCAACAGGGCCTTAGGTTATGCTCTGTGCTTTATGGGTAAAAGGTCTACAATATAGTTTGTTGCCGTTCGTTGAATGTGATCAATAAAATGTTTCATCAACAGACCTTTTTCACACGAGACATGTTGACTTGTCAATAGTAGCAACAGCTCAAGTGTCACTAATGGCTTAGCTTTATTCAGAAGCAACAAATTGAAGTTCTGTTGGTTCATCACCACAAGTGACCCCTTTCACATTGTCACATTGTTTTCACATTGTCACATTGTTGTCACATTGTCATTTGACACATTGTTTTTATAGTATCCATTACAGCTGCTTTAAGGCTATTTCAAGAGGATATGCATGATATGCGAAAACATCTGCAGTGGTTCAGTGAGTGCACAGTGTTGTGATGTAGTTCAAGTCTGCATGTGTCTAACCGTTGTCATCAACAACTCGTGTCTGTTCCTTGCAGCAATCAACTGGCAGGCCGATGATCTCCACTTCGACGAATGGATCAATAATCTGATGAGGATAAACAACGATTAAAAAACATTAGTTATACATTATTTTATGATGCTGCATATATTTGCAGCTGAAAGCAAGTTGAACATTGATGAGTAGTCAAGCATGTGTGTGTGTGTGTGTGTGTGTGTGTGTGTGTGTGTGTGTGTGTGTGTCAAATACAGATGGCGAATGTGTGCTTTGGTGTGTTTATACCTCTCCACGGTCCCCCAGCATGGAGTCTGGTGGTTTGGGCAACTGCTGTCCACTAATGATCTTGAGAATGAGTTGTTTCTTGGGATAAGCTGGAAGCGGGTCATCACTGAATGGGTTGAAGGAGCCTAGAAGGAATAAAAGACAGCAGAGGAATAACTTTGATTTATGTCATCACTCAATGCCAAAGTCTGATCCTCTCACATTGTTCCTGTTATATGCAATATTCATACACAAAAAAGGTGAAAATAACATAAATACACACATTTCTGTAACTGATCAGATAATGTCGACTGACTACAGTTGTGCTCAATAAGCATGGCATCATAAAGTGCAGGATTATAAACTACATGTGCAGCAAGCCCATGGAAACATGCATGCCTCCCTTTTGTTGTGTAGCTCTCTTTCAGATGGATATCTAATATTAACACAATTAGCAGTGTAACAATACTATACTATACTATGTGGATGAGATCATCTTAATAAACTCATGTAGTGCAGAAAACATCCTTTGAAGACAGCGAATATCTCACATTGATTTACAGGAAAATGTATAAAACTTGATGCAAATTATCAGTTATATCTATTTCATGTAATTGTGTACCAATATAAGTCTGCTGTCTTCTTGCATTTGAAAATACCACATACCGTAGTTTCAATAGAGCACGCAGATACAAAATATACTGTATATGCAATAGTGTAAAAGGTTTTAATTCAAATGGAAATTAAGACAGTGATATCTATATAAATATATTTCTATAAACAAAGTTTTATCCATTTACAGTTCCTTTACACCATATATGTATTTGTGTGAACAGTTGTAAATCAGTCACCCAATATAGTTTAATTCCTAAATTCTAACCTGCTATAATTTTATACATCCAATCGCAACAAATGCACACTGATTTGCACATCAGTTTTTAATTGTATGAACAATTATTTGTATGCATGCATGGGTGCTTGTTTGTGTGCATGCGGTCTGTAGGTTGCCTTACCTTTACACATGGGAGGAGGTTTGAGGACGTAACCAATACCTCCGTTCACCATAAACTTGGCTCTGTTGAGCTGCATCATCCTGCCCTCTGTCTGGTAGTTCAGAGCGACTGCAAGAGAAACACTAGTTAGATACAAAAATTCACTAAACCTCTACTATCTTTAATTATTATCCTGATATTGTTGCAGTATACATACACTATGAAAATCACTGAGGATGCTCACTCAGTAGTCTGTAGCAAAACTGATTTGACTCATTAATTTATTCATGAAGACTGTGCGTGAATACAACCTTGAAATCTTAATTAGAAAAAACAGATGAGGAAGGAAACCAGCAAAAAGAAAATGGAAATAAAAAGGACAATTCACAGTTGCTTCAATGATAATCTGTGATTGTTTTTTATTTATCAGTTTTACTTCCTCCTTACTTTCTCCTTTGTAACTGTTTCTATTTTTGTAGACCTAACGGAGATTTCCTAGAAATTCAGAGAGCAACACTGCTCTCTGAATTTAATAGATTTTTATTTAATGGGCAGGGACAGGCAAGGATTCCTTGGATGTTGGATTTCCTGACACTGCTCATTTTAGCAGAGATAAAAAAAAAAAATAATCAGTTCTGACTCTTTTTCATTATCTTATCTCCTTTTTATGCATTTATGTATTTCTCCCAAATCCTCACAATGTCCTGTTCCAACTGTAGCCCTACAAATAAACATGCACATACTCAATTATACACAACATGCAAATACATACAGTACACACACATATTTTGCACAACTGAGTTAGTGGTCACACGCATACCAATTACCCTCTGCACATATGACCACTGGCAACCTACGCAATGTGATATGTGTAAATGAAGTGTGTGGTGTGCAGGCCACAGATAAAATCTGAGTGTGTGTGTGTGCGTGCATGTGGTATGCAGTGTCAGTTAGTGTGTAATGACAGGTATGTGGCTAAAGGGAAGGCACCTGGTGTTCTCATTAAAAGTGAACCTCCAAACAGGTCAAAAGCTTAGAGCGACAGACAGCTGTCTTACCCAACTGACAACCCACGTTCCAGTAGAACTGGGGGTTGAAATTGGACGAGTCGATCCGATAGGCTGAGGGATAAATCCGTGACAGCTGCCTCTGGTTAAAAGCCAGGAATTGTTCGGCTCTGTGATTGACCAGAGACTGGGCTCTGGTCTCGCTGAATGAAAGAACGTCACCTGGAGTACCTGAAGAGAAACAAGGTTTAGGCATGCAAAAATGTCTTTGAGGTAAAGATTGCAATGTGACTATTTGTTTGTGTGTGTGTGAAGGTGCCAGAGCTTTGTTTTGGTGTTTCACCTTCATTCAGGCACTCCTGTGAGGCAACAGAGTTGGTGAACACCACCAGATTTGACAGATCTCTACTCAGTTTCATTGTCTTCCTCTTCCTTCCGCCCCTATAGCGATTGCCAGATGACAGGAGACAATTGCAAGAGAGGACGGAGGAGAGTTAATGAGATAATTTAAGAAAAATATGGGACAGGTAAAGCAAGAGGACGTGCACACACTCATACCTGCGTGAAGATTTTACAGTTGCAAATCAAGCAAAAAGGATTATCCATCATTGAAGCAGCTTGCAAACCAGAAATCCACACATATACGACACACACAGAGTTGTGCACACGCAGTCTAGCAATCAGTAAGTCAGTCACATAGCCACAAAGACACATGCTTGCAATAATCTGCACTGTGACATATTGATATGTAACCATAACAAAGACAGACTAAAGGAAGGAAAAGACAGCTGCATTTCCATACTTCTTGCCCAATGCTTACTCACAAAGAAAGAGGGGGAAAAACATGACAAAGGTGTACAAATAATGTGTGTGAAAGAGAACTGGGAGATATTCAGTTTGAAGTTTTTTCTTTGTTTGTTTATTAATAACCATGAGAATGAGAGGAGAAACAAATGATGTGATCTGACATGTTGAATTCTGATTTGGGTCTCTTCCATGTGTTATTAATATCCAATTTGTGAAACTATGAGCAGGAAGTTGTGATTAAACAGCAAGGCTTGCAGAATGAACACTTCCTAGCATTCCTGATGTGTTCATTTAATGTAAATATGTCAAATATGATACATAAGAGGAGAAGGAATCAAAACCAACCAGTCTCCCCTTTCTTTGCTGTCTGTGCTAGCACTTGGCTTGAAATCCATCTTTCTTTCCCTCAAACATAAATGAATGCTGAAGTGGCTTCAGCGGTTTGCATGGCACTACTTATGTCCTGAACTGTTCAATGCTTCCAGCAATCAGCAACTATCAAACCTCCCAGTTGTCAGGGATTGTCAGTGTTGTGGTGAAGCAGGTCAAATGTTACCTGTTGAACTGTCCTCCGGCCTCCCTCCCAGACGTCTCCTGTATGTCGTCCTCCTTGTCCATGCTTTGGCATGACAGCCTGGATTTAGAGTGCCTCTGGACAATGGACACACACAGGAATATATAAAAAAACACACACACTACAATAATGGTACAGGTTGAAAAGCAGAAAGACATGGCGTATATATCCTTGTCTTCAGTTGCCATCCTGATAAATGTGTTAAATACGCAAACATGATACTGCCTGCAGCACATGAACTCACAGTAAAGAGTTCTGAAGTGGACAAGGTTGATAATGTGTCTTTAGCAAATTGTATGCGTTTCTGTGTGATTCATGGAGAGTGTTATTATTGTAGTAGCAGTTTGAGTGTGTGGTTGTGCATGTTGGTGGTTGTTTTAGATAAAACGTATGTAATTATATTTGTGCGTATTTGTTGAAGTGTGCATTTTTAACATTTCTATTAGGGCTAAAGTGGAGTTGAGGAGCGGATGAGGGTCACAGTAATTACAGGGTTTAGGCCGGTTGCCAACCGATTACATGCACCCATGCATGCACGCATATATACACACACACGCGTGGGAGGATGCATAATATGCAAAGAGGGAGGCATAAAAGAATGAGGAGGAGATGTGAGTGGGTAAACTGCACATGAAGTAGAGGAAGATAAAATGAAGCAAATGGATGGAGGAAAAAATTCAGAGTGGGAAATAATCAGGCTGAGAAATGAGGGAGTGTAGAGGAAATGTCTTTAACACAACACCCACTGTCGTCCAAACCTATATTATACTATAAAATGAATGATAAAATGAATCGATGCTAACTGCATCTTTAAGAAAAACCTTGAAGGAATAGAAAACATCTTAATCAATTTCACGATGCGAGAAAAACACATACCTTAGCGAGGATGTAAATCATATAGGCTACATGCTTTAGATCTGCATCTGTAATTTACAGATACGCATAGCGCACACATTCAATGCATCGATCTGTAGCGTGAAATTGTAAGATACGTATGGTAATCTTAATTTTGATCTATGGTCATGCTTTGTATAGGCATTTTATCATGTATGAGTTTATGGAAGATTTACTGTATCTATAGAAGAACAGTGAAGCTTCTTTTCTGCTTCCCATAAGTGAAGATCAGTTGAAGAGGCGTATCACACTCGTAATGTTTGAACTATACCCTCAGTGGACAGTTTAATGGGAACTCATAGCAAACAAACTAGAAAAACCACCTTGTGGTTGTATGCCTTAGCCAACCAGTCAAGTTGCAGTTCACATCTATGTCTGTACGAAATATCAGAAGCAGTGAAGCACGTGAAGTATTTTATTACCAACTAACCTAAATTTGTCATTTGAGACCTCACACAAAAAGATCAAGAATCAATCACAAAAAGAGAAACCTCTCTATCGCCTCACCTTTTGTTTAAGCGCCGTGATGAAGGATCTGCTTTGGGATTTCTTCAGAACCCCTTTGGAGCTCTAGAGACAAGAAAACACTTTTATCTGTGTGTCTGTGTGCGTGCTTGTTTACATTCATGTGTGTGGATCATTTGATGTGAATCTAATCCCAACTACATTAGCACCCAGCAAGACACTTAAACCCTGAAGCTCAGTAGCTGGAGGGGTTGTATCCGACATCAGCCAAAAAAGCACAGCACAGCTGAAGAAGAGAGTGGGTGAGAAATAAGAAAAAGAGAGAAACTGAAAAAAGGAAAATGACAGTAGAGAAGATGGGGAGAAAAAGGCGTCAGAGGCAGAAAGAGGGGAAAGGGATCACCAACAAAGAAGGATAGCATGAAGAGCATAGGAAACCCCGATGCACACCCACTGCATTAAAATGGCTGTCAGGAAACTGAACCTTCTAAAAATAGCACAGGAGGCAAGCAGAGAAATTAAATATTAAGTAACACTGCAGACATTTAGTTTCTCATCACTTTCGGTCTGTTTTGACATGCTTTGGATGAAACACCACTGAGGTGGGAAAGCAGTAGTCCCTTCAGACTGGCCTGAGGAGGTCCTACTCCTCCTGAGGAGTGGTGCAGTAACTAGTCCACTCTTTTATTTTCTCCATTTCCCTCTGTGACTAATACCATGGCCTATTTTTACCCCCCCCCCCACCCTCCCTTTGCTTTCTTCTCCTAATCTGTTGACGAGTATTACTCTACTCCATATGCAGCTCTACACAATGCCTCGGGGTGGTACCTGCCGCAGGTTCTTCTGAAGGCCCTGGTGAGTAGCCCTGAGCAGAGCTCGGATGCTGAAACTGTCTGTATCTTCCTTGTCCCCGATCCGAGACTCCTTCAGCAGAGAGTCCAGTTTCTTTCTGATGTGAGATTCCACCTGGTGATGACCATTGTCCTGAGTGAAAGAAGAAGAGAGTCATAAAGTAAGGGAAGGAGAAAGCGAGCTGGGCAAGTAAGTGAGACACACGAAGGTGGTCATTTCAATACAGATGCAAGGACACATGTATTGCAAAGAGATGATGGAGAGGAGTGCTATCTTGGTGCAACAGCACACATTGTGACTGATGCGAAGCAGGTTCAACCCAAATCCACCAACTGCAGAGCCACAGTAACATCAGCACCGCCCCTCAGGCAATAAAAATAACTACAGCAGCAGTTTAGAATTGCAGATATAGATGTGCGGTATAGAAAAAAATGCTGGTGCAATTTTGACTCCTGCTCCACTTGCAGGCAATAACTGTTATCTGTCATTTTTCATAGTTGCGAAAGACGATGTGTTTAATATTTTAAATCTATATTTTAAATGTGTAAAAGTTAACTGGAGTATATTTAGACTACTCTTGAGCTATTGTATGTGCTGAAGAAGCTTTGTTTATGCTCTATTTCATTTTAAATTTAGAAACCATATAATATCAATAATAATAATAATGTTAATAATAAACTCTTTACAAACATCTGGTTGGTGGTTTACTGCCACAAGCTGAATTGTACTTCATTGGCACCAGTCTAAAATGAAAAACATCTATACAACTATACAGATCCATGAGCTGTGTCCAAAATCACTCACTTGTCTGCCTATATAACACACACCAAGTAGTTTAGTCTGTAGTGAGCTGTAAATTGACGTTTTAGACAGATTTTATTTGGCACCAGTAAGAGAAGACAATATTATACAAGTCTCTCTTGTTCCGCAGCCAGTGTTTCATTATTAGACAAAAGCTATATCACACTATTAATGCAATGCTCGTGGTGACTGCTGTGAAAGCATGTCGGTTTAACGAGCTCAATACAAAACCTCTCATCAGTGAAAACCTGCCACCACCCTTTTAAAATGGCAATGATCATCCAAAGTGGCATCTGCAGCCTCATGCCTCCAGCTAAATGTGGAAGAATGATGCCATATTCTGTTACACAACTGAACCATCTGGAAAATATCCGAGTGTTTTCCTGCTTTAAATGTGGTGAGGAGGACCATGGCACTATGAAGGAATAAATAAACAGGATTAAGAATGATTAGAAAAGTGGCACAAGGCAAGTTCAGGAGTGATTTGCACACAGCAAGCAGCGATGATATTCGCTGACACGTTTTACATTTTTCTGAGCTGCTTATCTATTAAAAGAAACGTAAGTTCAGATGCTTGTATTTATACCCGCACCATTAAGCAATGATTATTCCCAAACATTACTGCAATGATGATCAATACAACTTTACAAGTACCAACATTACTACCCAATTACTGAGGTCATTACTTCGAGCACAACAATGTCATTAAGATCCTATTACCTAACTTCTGTATGTGGGGGACTGGTTGTATTCTCGAACATTACTGATCAAGCAGCTCTTTAATAACTAAAAGAGGAGCATAAAGGAAAGCTACCAAGACAGAGAGACATACAGCAGCTGGAGTAAAAGTTAAATTGAGTTACTTTTATGTCTTTGTTTTTTTAAAAGGTATTGTAATGTAAAAGTAAAAAAAAAAAAAAAAAAAACTTCAAAAAGCAAAAGTTGTGTTTCAATCATATAATCTGTTTTATCTATCGAAATATTGCTCTAATTTGTTAGAGGATACATTTTTATACAAATTATTTCAGTGCTGTTCTGGTTTCAATTGCATGTAGAAAAAACAGGAATGATGGCTCTCTGACAGGTGTTCTACAATTAACATTACATTGCATTATTACTTTTAGGAAACGGCCTTCCTGAGCAACTGGTTACCCTGCCAGTACGCATAACTGTCTTACTATGATAATAGTGAATAAATGAATGCCAAAAATAAAGACAGAAACTTGACTCCATAGATGGGCACAACTGGCTTGAGAATGACTTGAGTAATGTGAGGTAACGTCTGTTTGGGCATGGTAACTAGGTTCTTCATGCATTAATGTATGCATATCATGTTTATAGCTACAATCCTCTATCTTACATTACTGCTCTTAAGCTTGAAGTCGTCCTCAATTTCATCAGCGCTGTCATCATCAGACACTTCGCCTTCCTCGGCGTCCGCAGACAGATAGGCAGGCAGACTCTTGCCCTGGGTAGAGAGAGGACAGACAACGAGCTGAGAGGACAGCGGACAAACATACATTTAAACCATGCACATGTCTTGAAAATCCTCGCTTGTCTCTAGAAAGCCCACACAGGTTGCACCTCTAAGATAGTCCGAGCATAACACAGAAGAATGCAGCATGTTTTAATAATTTACTTAACTGCACACGTACACACAAAAATGCACCTTGAAGTTGTCTCTGTTATGCGGCTCCTTTCTCAGTATTTATAGGCAAAGTGAAAGCCAATACTGCCACATACAAGCACACAAGAGGGCACAAAACACACTTGTGCACACACAAACACACGCACAAATTATACAATCAGCTGCAGATTCTCCTCGGAAGCTCCCTGAGCAGCTCTTCCTGCAGAGTAGAAAGCCCATTAGTGAGCCATTCTGAAGGTATGAGTGGGAGTCAAGATTTTCTAAGGTTCTTCCAAAATCGATGGCAGACTGCGAGCTTCCCGCAGTACATCGAGTGTCTCACTGGCTGACATGACCGCCCTTGTTTCATCCACTGCCACCAGCAGTCTATCCCTTCTTTCTATCTGTGAATGTCAAAAACCGTTATGCCATATTCTTTTATTGTATCTCTGGTCTCTTGCTCCACTGGGGGATGGAGAGAGGTTAAAGGTTCTGAAACGAGCTCATAAAGTGGGGGGAGGAAAGAGTAATAAAAAGTGTTGGAGGAGTAAAGGGCTTTATAGAAAATCAATAATGCTCTTTCACTTTCCAGACATATGGCTGGGGAGGGACAAAGCCAGTGATACTTTTTTTCCTGGGGACAATGCAGGCTTTTTTATATTACAGATAAAGTAAATTTAATCCATAAATGCTGAAAGCTTTTGCTCAACAAGATGCTCTCTGTTTGAACAACTCTACCCGTGCTGGTGGATAAGGATCTTCTGGCTCTGAGGCAGTTAAAGTGAAAGCTGGTATTAAAACAAGGAAGATGTTGGGTTTTCGGTCCTTTTGAGGATGATCATATCAACTATGTTTCACAGATCATCTTTTGCTTGGCACCCGTCTTCCTTGAGATTACAACAATAGGTGCTGTAAAGAGATAAGCTTGTGAGGCTGGACATGATAACTTGCATACTGTAAAATGATCAGATATCTGAAAGAATAAAAGCAATGATATACGTAGCCTTCGTGCAAGTCTCTTGGAATAATTAAATTGTAAGTCTTCCGGACTAAATGACAAAATATGTTCTTTGTTCTTTTTCAAAACAACCCACACTGTTTTTATGGTTACATTACATGCTACATTACCCGGGTCATGAAGGAGTATGGGGACATGCAGGTGTATCACGCCCAAAGGGGGGGCCAGGTGCAACACAACCGATCTACACACACCTTTCTCACCAGTCCTTTGTCGCTCCAGCTAACACATATGTACATATGTCCTCAACACTCACCCCACCTAGCAAAGCCACCGACACTACTACTCTGTGTGTAGAGCGTGCACGGCAGTGCACACTCTTGCCACCTACCTTTAGACTTGAGACATTTGGTCTGACTGTCACCACGGAGCAGCACGCGACTGGGGCTCCGACAGGGTGGTTATTTCAAACACTCTCTGAACTGAGGTCAGTGAAAGCAACAAAGCTGTCTTGAACAACAACGCCTTCATTCAGAGGCTTAAAGGGACCCTTCACTGAGGCCTCGAGCCCTCATTTCTACATAATACAGTACAAAGCGGCAACCTGGAATGACTAAAAGCTGCTGCTGCCTCACTCTCTGAGGGGAGGGATGAGGAGGAGCGGCAGAGAGGCGGAAAGCAGCTTTCTAAGCCATGACACGCGACCCCCAGCATCGCCATGCTGGGACGGGCAGTGGGTGTTGCGGCGGTTGATGGATCTAAACTCTGCTGGGTAACAGTGTGTTTCATGGAACATTTATCTATTCATCACGGTTAATTGCGAAATTGCTGCGGTAAGTAGCAATTTTAACAAATAATAGTTTGACAGCCCCAACTGACTCTCCTTGCAGGTTGTGTTTGTTGTAAGAAAAATAAAAAACAATCTTTTTCTCAATTATCATATGCCAGCATCTCGTCCTCTCCATTCTCCACTATGGTTAATACAATGACCTAGTTTTGTCCTCCCTTTTTCCTCTTCCTTCTCTTCATCCGTTTATGGGCAATAATTAGCTGCCTTGCAGTGCCTCTCCCACTCCCCAACGTCAGTACAGTAACGCACATTAAGTAAAATTTGGTTCTCCGCTTTCTTCACTGAAATAAGAGGAAGGAAATGGAGATGTGCAATGCAGATGGTTTGATTTACAAGCAAATGATCATTTCATTTGAAAACATGAACTGTCATTCCACCATCGCATCAGCAGTATCCACAGATTTGTTCTTACTTTGATGAGTATCTTGCCCTGGAGCCTTTGAGGACTGGGTAGTGTTTTTGAATCTCTGCTCAGTGCATCTCTCACATCCAGTTTGTCTCCAAAGATTTCTCGCAGGTACTGAGCAATTTTCTTCTGCTGCTGAATGCTACAGTGGTTCTCTATGGACAGAATCACTGGGTACCTGTAAGAGAGAAAAAATACCAATATAAATATTCAGATTTCTATAAATTACATCAAAATCTGGTAAGACGGAAAATTTGTCTTGAATGCAGCCATTGGACTGCGACTGATCTGATATGAGTGTGAGCCACATCTCTAACTGTATTTCCATGTCTCAGCTCCAACCAACAGAACAGCGAGGAGGTAAATTCTGAAAAGAATACAGCTGCATAAACACCTCCCCACCTATGTGACATGGTGTGTATGTCGAAGTGGTGTGTGTGTTTTGATTAAGAAAAGGTGAAATGACTTGTGGCCACACGGTAGCGCAGCTTGAATGTCAGGTTTGTCAGACTGACAGCTCTCCCTCAGGGGAAGCAGCCCTGCTCTCAAACCCCACCTTTGATCCACAAAACACACAATCACGCACACACAAACGAGTCCACTGCCAAAGAAAAAAAGAGACAGAGAATAGAGCATCCAGTCATTTCACAGACATTGACATCCAGGAGCTTCTCTCAAGTGAAACACTGAGGCGGCTCAATGAGCTGTGTAGTGTGTGTGTGAGTGAGTGGCTGCATTTCAATACAGCCAAGGGGCCATTAATCATATTAACAGGTGGCACTGGTGATAAAATATCAGCTGTATGTAAAAGGTGATAACAGCAGAGAGGAGGAGAGATAAAGCATGGGATGTTTAATTTATTCTGCTGGTCTTGCTGTCAGAATTAAAGATTACTAATTAATATGGTGTTAGTTTATGAGACTATATGTCACGGGAGTTCACGGTTAGGACCCAATAGCAAGACCACAGGAGACAGAAGTTGGTATAAACAGGTTTTATTTAGCCTGAATAAAGATGACAGGAAGGTGTGGAGCCCGTGGTCCGACACCAGAGAGTAGGCAGATCGACGGTGTGAGTCCCGTGGCTCGACACCGGAGGGCTGGCAGCTTGACGGCGTGATGTCCCGTGGCTCGACACCGGAGGGCTGGCAGCTTGACGGCGTGATGTCCCGTAGCTCGACACCAGAGAGTAGGCAGATCGACGGTGTGAGTCCCGTGGCTCGACACCGGTGGGCTGGTAGCTTGATGGCGTGATGTCCCGTGGCTCGACACCGGAGGGCTGGCAGCTTGACGGCGTGAGTAGTCCGTTAACACAACAGAGGGCAGAGCGGCGGTGTGTAGTCCGTTAACACAAAGGAGGGCACGGGGGATTCCCGGACCGACGGACACCGGAGGCAGGCGCTCGAGGCCGAAGATGCAACGGGGTTGAAGCGGGTGAAAGACGGTACGACCTGACAACCCCAGACTGCAGGACCAGAGTTTATATAGTGCCAGGGAAAGCGTTAGTGGGACCTGAGTCTGGTGTGTCAGCCTGCAGGAGGTAATCGGGTGGAGTTGCTGCAGCTGTGTGGCCATAGGAGGTGTCTGGTCTGACAGGGATCCTGACACTATACACATATTTCCGGTTTTGGAAAGTGTGAAGGTTTTCTTTCATGGGGAACATTGAGCATGTGGTATTTGACTTAATTTACAGAGGAATACAAAGAAGTTACCCTGAGCAGTGGTGCAACTCAGACAAACATTTTCAAAGGAATAGACATACCTATACCATTATTTTAATCATAGATAAATCTGCCAATTCATTTCTCCAATCAACTGAATAATCATTTGGCCTATTGAATAACCAATTTAACAACTAATCGTATCAGCTCTTACAGCGTAGAGTCAAAAGACAAGAGAGGCATCTATTAACAGGGTTTTTGTGGGATTTTCTATCCTTGTTAAGTAGGTTGTGTGCCTGTCTTTATTGTCAGTTGAATGTTACCCTATATTGATCTGTGATTGATTGCTGATGTAATTAAATTAATAATTAGACATTTTGGGAAATACCCTTGTTTTTTTTCTTGTTGGGAATTTGCTGAGAAGCTCAATACTGTCATTTGTCAGTTAAATATGAATCTACAGCTAGCATATTAGCATAACCTGCTCCGGCCACAGGTTATTAAATCCAACTCCGCTCACTTACTAACACATTTGTGTCACCTGCTGAAAAACCAAGTAAAAAATGACTTTATGGAGTTTATGCTAAGCTAAGAAGCTGCTAGCTTGAGCTTCTGAGTGTTGTATCAATCTTATCATCTAACACTTGGTAAGAAAGCCAATAAGCATTTTACTCAAAAACCATATCATATATATAACCTGCGATATTTAAATAATTACTGTCTAGAAGTTGACAACTAGAAAATAAGATTGAAAAAACAAACAGATGCACAGCCTTATTAATTTTAGTGAAACTTCCAACAAGCTATTGCCAAATGTACTCATCTTTCTAGTTTAATTACATAGATTTAATCTGCTCCAACACTGTCTGTGCCTTTGTATTGAATAGATGGTTTTATAACACAAGCATTGTACTCATAAGTAGTTGCAATAGATGTAAAAGCGAGCCAATGTAGCAGCAGGAAGCTACATCATTCATCACTTTGTTTGGGTATTGTTGGACCCAACAGAGACAAACAGTGGCTCCTCTGGGAGCCAGAGGAAACGCTGCTGAGCAGATGGTTCAGTAATAGGTGCTAATTACTGCCAGGAATCACAACGTCCTCCGAAAAACACCAACCTGGCTGTCTAAATGTTGCAACTTTCTTGTTAAACCTTGTAAGGGAATCTTACATCAAATTCAAAAATATTACATTACATCTGTGGGAGAAATTCTAGTTTGAGACTAGTTTTATGAAGAAAAATACAGTAGTTCTGCAGCTTTTTTTTACGAGCGAGGTGATGCAATTATATCTCATCCCATAGAACATAAAGCAACACAATTGAACAGAAGAGAACAATATTCAATCAATAATAGAATGTGTGTGTGTGTGTGTGTGTGTGTGTGTGTGTGTGTGTGTGTGTGTGTGTGTGTGTACACTTGGAGAAAGGTTCTGCTGTTTGTCCTGGTGCAAAGGACATAATTTGCTCTACTGAATGTCAACCAAAATGATGTTTCAGTCATATTTATATCAATAAGTAAAATGGCATTTCTATTTGGCATTCTGGGCCATTTTCTCCCAGTACAATATGAGATATTGTCTAGTTTCCATAAAGTGTCACACACACTCGCATGCTATCACACACAACAATAGGGTTGTTGACTCACTGGTTATTTATGAAGGCATATTTATTGATGGTCCCTATGACAGACTTGAATGGTATCTTGGATGTCAGAGTGTAGCCGTGTTGGACCATCGGCTCTCCATCAGGACCATCCCAACAGTCCACTGCAGGGAAAAACAGGAGAAATGATGCATGAATAACACTCTTTGCTTTGAATATTGAAAAGACAGTCTATTTCAATTGTACTTGACATCTGAGCTATTTCTTATTCTCCTAAGAACACTAGCGTAAAATTATATTTAAGGGTGAAACAGAGTTTGTTGCAATTATAAACCAGCTTGGACTTTTTTCACAGTAGTCATTTTGACATGCCATATTAGGAAAAGCACAACATTAACGATTACCCTGTTGTATGGAAGTGTCCCATTAAATCATGACAGTGTGACAGTAATGCATGTTACCAAGATACCAGAAACTGAAACGGCTAAATAGAGCACAGCCAAGCTTTATCTCATCATTTATACCTGTGCTTTTCCTACTGTGACATGTCAAATGTCTTCTGAGGAATAGGCTTAATGTGTGCACAGTCATGATTAGATTTGCATACCTTCTACACAGCGGCAGCCCGACTGCAACACCCAGGCATACATGTCGGTCTTAGAGTTGGAGAGTAGCTGGTCCCCAGTCAGGTATGTGTTATGAGAGGAGGCGATGAAGTAGTTACACAGAGGCTGCTCCATGTCTTGATTCACCTCGCGGTGCAGAGGGTTGAAAATATCACATGTTGGACTGCGCATGAAGCTTGTAAAACCTGAAAGAAAATAGAAAATGATTGGAAAAAAAAAATAACTTGGGACTAAAACAGGCAGAATGTTGCTTTGTTTCAATTATGTTTTACTGCTTTGAATATTTAATTAAAAATATCACACATTTGTTTTCAGTCGTGTGGATGGCAATGCTGTCTGTCAGTTACTCAGTGTCGGTGCATAATTTCGATCCAGACTAAAGTATTGGGTGAATTGCCATGAAATGTACATTCACTCCTGCAAAAAGATTTACATTTAGATTTAAATTAAAGTGAACACCGCCACAAAAACTTTTTATTCTTAAACTACCAGCTTCCAGATCATATCATGCACCTTTTAACAGCTTCTAACCGTGACATCTACAATATCTCTCTTCAATTTCCAGGAAAATACCAAGGGATGACAGACAAGCACATACAAACCTGAGCGCTGTGGTTTCAAACTCGAGAAGTGGGGTTTGAAACCATGCTACGGTGGATAGCTTTTTTAGGTGGTAAAGCATGAGGAGGAGTGAGAGGGAAGAAAGCCCCCTTCTTCCAGAGAGGAGGGATGAAAAATGAGACAAGCATACCAAGAGCGGAAAAAAACGGAGAAAAAAAGCCAGAGAGCAAAGCAGACAAGGAAAAAGAAGCAGACATGTGTGAAGGTTTTTGATATGGGAAGTCAGTGATCAGGAGACAGGATCTCGTCATGGTGCCATCATGGCTAAATCCAGTACACAGTAAATTACATAAAATACTGGAGGTAACAGCTTGTCACACTGCAACAAAGATGTTAATGTGGATTTGTTTGTACATTGCTGTCACATCTGTGCACAATGCATGTTCAAACACACATTCTGGCCTGCAGGCACACTGGTCTGATCAGTCAGACACACAGTTTTAGCCGTCATGCCTCCAACAACAAGATTAGTCTCACCCTTCCTCCTACCCCTCTCATCTCCTCTCCCCATGCTCCCTGCTCTCTTTTCTGTCACACTCTCATTTTCTCTCTCCCACCGCCCTCATTCTTACTTCCCAATTTTCTCACTCCAGCTACCCCCCCGATCCTCACTCCTTCTTCTCCCTTAAGCTCACCCTTCAGTTGCATGTGGCATTACTTACAATGACACTCAGAGATGAACACTTGCCAAAGACAAAGTCCCAAATCATTCATGGCCATTCTTTTTTCTATTCAGTAAGTCAGGATTTAAAACACCTTAGGTGACTCAGCATAAATCATGATGAGTGGAATTCACAGTAAATTACAAAAGCGGAGTCAATATAAATGTAAAAAATGGTAAATTACTATTAAATTGCCCTTAAATATCAATTTTATTTTAAAAGGACATCAGTGTTTTTACCAGCTGTGACAGCGACGCTGGTGTTGTTTTCACCTTATGAGTCTGTGTGTATCATCTTGCCAAAATGTGGTCCTGGACACACCTACTGTAGCAGGAACTACTACAGAGAGGTATTTATATATCTCTCTCTCTGTCTGTCCACAGATTTTGTCGCCGCGATAAAGTGGCAACCATGCAAGATGCAGTCTCGAAACTTTACAGGTGTGTAATTGACATCAAAATGAAAGTCCAGTTCGAAGTCAGAGCAAGGTGGGAACTTTAGGCCCCTGAACTGATTTAGTGACACAAAACTTTACAGGTGCGTAGTTGAGATCAAAATGAATGGTCCCATCGCAAGTTGGTCTCTGGATGGTTGTTAAAACCAAAGTTAAGGAAATAAATGCATATCAAGGAATGACTGAGCTCAGGTTGAAAAATTGGGGGAGCAAAAATAAAGTGGTAAAATAACAGTGAAAGTTACCGTCAATCCCCAAGACTCCACTTTGTTTATTCTCATCAGACACCTCAAACTTCTCCATGATTTCTGCAACATACTCTGGAGTCACATTGGCCATCTAGAGAAAAAAGGATGAACAAAATAGTTTAGACTCTTTGAGATGTAGTACATAACAAAGATTAAACCCCTTTACAAATGCTAAATGGAGTCAGACTGATTTCCTATCTTTATAACATATTTGTGTTGCTATAAACGGATTACCAGCCATGTCAAGCAAGCAGCAGTCTGAGAACAGTATTAATGCTGAGATTCATAGGCAGGACGCGGTAAATACAGAATGATGAAAAATGACACCATTGCAGTGTAAGAAAGAATTTATCAGAAACACAAAGAAAAACACTGATAGAGAAAACGTGTGAAGAACAAGAAAAGGGCTCCCATGAGACACAATTTTAAGCGTGATAGATTGGCTTAGTGGAGCAGATTCCTCTGGGCAGACAGCTGACACAGAGGGAGTTAACTTACATGTAAGACTAAGAGAGGAAGAAAAGGAACTGATTATTTTCTTTTGAGTGGCTGGATCTCAAATTGAAACGGCTTATTGGGGAGAAAGTAGTTTGGACACTTAATCCTAAAAATGTGTTTAACTTCACTGTCGGAGTCTTTTATTGTCTCTAACCTGAGACAAGCGTGACCTCTCACCTTCTGCTCGTTGTGCAGGAAGTTGGCCAGCTCGTCCGCTGTCAGGTGATCCTTCCTGTCACTGTACGCCATCATCAGGAGGAACAGGTCCCGTCTCAGAGACATCATCTTGTAGAAGACGGAGAACTCTTCGTATGTCAGCGTGCCCTGCTGATCGTCCGTGTCTGCTTCCTGTGAGGACGAGGAAGTGATATGTCATCGGTGACACATCTCAGTTACTATATTTTGATGGTAAGTGAAACTATACACATTAATGCGTTGCGGTGTGATTCCAAGTGAAACAACAAAGGCTGCTTGTGATACAATTTGTTTATGTGAAAAATATAATATATGGATGTGAATTTGAACTTAATCTCACTACATTTTTGAGGCCATAACAGATATCCATATTTGAGAATCAAAAAAATATATAAGTAAATGAACTATCTACAACACATAAACAACAATTTTTACCAAGGAAACCTACATTCTAATTTGCTTAAAAAAATTAATTATACATGATTGCAGTAACAATTAACATACAGTAATAATAATCTCTGAATCAAATTGTTGAATCACTGTGACATTTATTTGCTGAGTACTTCCCGGTACCGCAAATGTATCTACCTCCTAGCTTAAAATTAAAAAATTTGACTTCACTTCATTTTGCATATTCAACAACCAATTATAGCATGGTAAACAAGAATAAGAATGAGGATGTCATCTTCATATGTAGGCAGCCATAGCTACCTTGGTACAGTCACGGTAAATAGCAACAGAAAAATAGTCTGTAACAATTTGACACACCTAAAGACTTGTAGAAATACTAATTATTAAGTAAAAAACAAATAACGATAAATGTAAAAAAACTTTTAGATGCACATACTATCACGAAATAATAACGCTAAAGACAACACATTTTTGTAATGCTAGATATGGCTGTTAGCTGTATGAATATCTAATGTTAGAAGATATAAATACATGCAAATATAACCTAATCTGCTTTCATCCATCAACACCAAACTTCCAAATGAAGCGGGAGGAAGGGGGGGATCCCTAAGGATACCATGTAAAACCATTGATGTGTCATCTTTGTCATAGAGCATATTTGCAACAGCTTCCGTGTCTGCCCGATGGCCGGATAGATACGTCACTTGTTATATATTTCAATAAAGGCAAAATGACCTTCGTCCTAACAAGAAATCAGCCACCATGAACACAATGTCAGGCTGAATAGATGTGAGTGAAATAAAATGGCAATTCAGTCTTCTTATTGGGCTATTATATACGGCCAAAAAACAATAATTACTGTAAGTGATAAGCCAATATCAGCCCTGCCTATATATCGGTCAATGCACAGTCAGCTATGCACAGGGGAACAGCTGCGCACATGTGCAGCTGCAAACTGTCTCATCTTTGTTTGTTTTTTTCCGTCTCTTATCATGTTTCTCTCTTTCACACTGATACAAACACAAATTCACAATATACCAGTTTTTATGAGACAAACACATTACTTCTTCAACCAGTTTTTTTCTTGCCTAACCTCATATCTCACTACATGCTGCCCGAGGACACCCACAGCCGGGCTCGCCGCTCATTCTCTCGTGCCGCCTCGCTCTGCCTGCTCGCTGGGCAGCGTCTCATTTTACCTGGATCTCACACAGGGGCCCATCGACTCCACACCAAATCTAATAATACCAGCTAATGCATCCACCACGCTCCCGTAATGAGCTCGCTGTGTGCATTGGGGATTCGATCACAGAAAGAATCTACACACAACCAGCAGGATAAATCGCTGTGATGGACTTCATCAGAAATGCATGGACAGAAAACAAAGAGATCCAGGGTATATTAAGCAACTGCACAAGCTGTTCCCGTTTGCTGCGCTGTAATCTGCCAATGCTTCAATATGAAAGAGATAAATTAATGAAATGTCCCATCTAATCTCAACCCAAAGAGTGAATTTTTTACAGAGCAAGATTATAGTTTAGCCAATTATGAAGAGATACAAAACATTTTTAAATCCACTGTATCAAGTCTAAACTGCTGGAGGTTGAGAAGGCTTTAAAATACATACTGCAAGGCATTTCAATTAGAAGGTTTATGAGCTGAATTACAGATATTTAGTGTTCTGTCTTCTATATATTTCATTAGGTCTGTATAAATTAACATTCAGATTCTGTTAGAGAGCAAGAATGGGGAGTTCTAATCTATTTAGGAATATGCACGAGGCACTATATGCCAGCTAAAAACCTTGACGTCTTAAACACAGGGTCACTCTTAAAATGACCAAAACTCAAGTCATATGCAGTAAACCTGGGGACTGGGGGGGGGGGGCACTGGAGTCTCCAGGGCTCCATGAATAATTTGCCCATGGTAGACTAGCTTTCCTTATCATGGTTTCATCTGATTAATCAACATCTGACTTTAACTGCCCTGGTCACTCTCATACAGGACTAACCTCTCCTGTTGTTCCACACCTGCCCAGCTGAATGTAGGCCTGTCACCTGACCAGTCACCTGTCTGCTCCCCATTAGCCTTCAGAGACAGCATACTTTCCTGCTAGCATTTACTCTTTCCCACAGACTGTCTTTGTGCCCTTGTTGGCTAATCTTTGCAGTCCTGTTTTTGCTCTGCTTGCCGGGCATTCCTTGGTCCCTTGAGTACTGGGTGTTGACTTCCTTGCAGGTATTGATCATATTTTTGATCTGTTTCATCCCTAAACCTCTACCTTGTGAGTCTGCACTTCAGTCATCATTCCTGTGACAGTTTCCTGAACCCTCAAACACCTGCTTCTGAGGGTGGTCAGTTGTGATGGACAAAAAACAAAAGTTTCCTCGTCAAAATTCACCCAATTCACCCGGGTCCAAATTAAAAGATCAAAAGAAATATTCTCATCTCATGATTAACTATCACATTAAGATGGCTGTTGAAAGTCAACCATGCCTGCTAGAGCAAAGGCAAATTTGTGTTTGTGGTCAATAGATAAAAGAAAGTGGAAAAAGTGTTTCTGCAAACTCTAACCCCATTAGAAACGCCAGCAGACACTGTATGTGGATTTATGACATTACTCAATGTGACATCAGTTTTAAAAATTAAATCAGCCCTCTCCACACACTTCTTCATCTATTTCCTCTTAAAGTGTCTCTCTAGCGCATGAACATATGAAATATTTCTCGGACATGTATTTGAGTTTCACAAATGCACATGAAAATTTTAAACTGTAATGTGACGTCACTGATCTTAAATATTTATACACAAGGAATTTAATGTATTCAGTTGAAAGCAAACATAATTTTTATTTAATGAGAGGGCTTCACATATGTATGTACATGTTTTGATATTTAATTTCTATTCACTGATATAGTGATGCCCCGAAAATGAATGTAAGAGCAATTTATTGGATTTGAGATGTAAAGAAATGAAAAAAACAATGGCTTCATATTCTGACCTGAAACATTTGTTTGATCTTCCTGCGTGGCAGATTGACATTCAGCTTGTGGAGAAGTTGGTAGATCTCATCGATGTTCAGGAAACCGTCTCCGTTCTTATCGGCCTCCTCAAATGTCTGCTTCAGCCACGTCAAACACACACATTAAGGAAAATGAGGTGTGTACTGTACATAAAATCTGTGTGCATGCATAATTTCAAGTTTGTCAACTCCAATTGATATTATTTTGGGGATGGTGCTCGCCCTTACGCCACTGAGTTTGCACAAGCACCCCAGACTCTGAACCACTGAAAACTCTAACAAAGAGCACTGGGCTGAAGGATATTGGTCGTGCGTACGCTGTCGTTTCGCCAGCGAGTCCTCATCGCTGATGCCGGCCATCAGGTAGCGGAGGCCAGTTATCCAGGTTCTGGCCTCTTCTGAGTTTGACGTCACCAGATCAAGGGACTCCATGTGGTTTCCGTGGTACACTGTGAAACAGCAGGCCGAGTCAAAGCTGCCGTCTGCATGCCGATGGAAGATGTCTGATTGAATGCCCTCTGTCACTTTGTAGAGTGAATCAATGGTGACTGAGGAAGAGGGGAGCAAAAGAAAAGAGACGTTGTGTTAACTTGAATTGCAACTTAAATGATAAGGCTGGTGATATCCTACGTTTCTATAAACATGTATTCACAGACCTCCACTGTTGTCCAAAGAATATTAAAAACATATTTATTAGCCACACTGTTGCACTACATGGCAAGTTCCTTTATTACCATGAACGTGGCCAGTAGTAGTTTATTTTGACTAAAGTGCACATGCACCGTCCACTTGCTGTAAATACTCATGAGAGCACCCAATGTGTATTAATGCAGTATACTCCTGTTTGCATATGTTTTGCTAAAAACTACAATGCACAGGTGCTATAGGAAAATATTGTGTCTTTAAAAAAAGTTGATATATACCTGTATTTAAAGATTTACTGTTCAGTAGGAACGAATGAGTTGGAAAGTATTGAGAGGCAGACTAAAACATTGTTGGCTTTCCTACAATTTGCTGACAATAGGAAATTGTCTGGAATAACACCAGTCTTATACTTTGATACTGTTACCAAGTTCTTGACAATTTCCCATTACAGTATATTGACAGAGGAATTGAGCAGGCAGAATAATGACATATTATTAAAATAGAATAGCAGCAAAAACTGCTTATCGTTGTGAAAAACAACAATGACCAAAATTAGTTGAGTTACGTTCTCTCCCTGATTTTCTCTATCATGTGTTAAAAACAATGGGGTAAGCAGTTCCTGTAGGCTTCAGAGTGTATCACAGTCTCATGAGATTGGAGTACAAACTTAGCTATTTTTGATTCTGTGTCTTTGTTAGGAAAAAGCCACAGCCTGCAGTAAACTACGTCCTGTTCCGCACACCAGTCTCTTCAACTAGTTTGTTTTCTCCTCACGGTATGTCTCTCACATGTGTCAATTATCGATTTAATTGAATTGTCATTCAATTAAATCGATTCATTAATGTCCCTCATCAATGCTCTAATGTGTTTTCCTCAGAATAATGGACCTTAATGATTTTGGAAACATCATTATGTTTGAATAATTGATTAAAGAATGAATTATATGATGAGTCAATTCAACTAATTGCCTTCTTATCCACCCCAAAAATACTTCTGTCATAATCCATTCCAAAATGATCCCTGTCCATTTTCCCATTACACTCTCACTCCGTTACATAATCTCATCTCTGAAATTCTGATATGATTGAAAGTAACAACACGGCAGCCACACACAGACATACACTCAAAGAAAGAACTGGGCAGCTGTTTGAGTCACTTAATCATGTCAATGGAGAGTATCTAAGAGGCTTATATAATGCTGACAGCCTACACACACACACACACACACACACACACACACACACACTGTTATTTGAACACATGTAAGGACAGGTCCACAGACGTATGCTTCAGTAAGTTGAAACATAAAACCAGTTAAGTAAAAAAGTGACGGTGATGCTTTGAGGAGGCCATGAAATAAATGATGATAATCCCCTCAGTACCAGAGCCCTTTGTGACATGATACCTGTCCACTTTTTAGAGGTTCAATCAAATGCAAAGGATTTTATTTAAATTCCTCTCGTAACTGTAAACCGCTCAAATATTCTGTTTCACAAAGGAATACTCACTGTGCAGAAGCTAAAGCTGCTCTAACTTCTGTTTCACTGGGACTTCAAAAATGAATTCCAGTTCACTAATACAAAGTCCAACATGTTAGTTGAATGTAAATAAACACGTCTCGCATGCTTCAAGACACTGCTAGTATCTTAACATAACCATTGAAAATGTTTGATAATGTTGTAGTTCTTGTGAACGGACAACAAAAGCAACGTCATTACAGATGAGTTTAGAATATTTTTTGAATACCGCAAAATAAGAAAACACAGGCAGAGGGCAGGGTCTCTGCAGATACAGATGCTGCCAGAGCCACACACTTAGTGGGTCACAAGTGATGATTTAGGGATTATTTTTTGTATTTAAAGGTGGATCGGGCAGTCAGTCCGTAAAGTGTGATGAATGCTTAAAATAGACAATTTGGTAAGTAATTTTATCGTTCGACTTTGATTTCTATTCCAAAATAAATGTGTGCAACCTGGAGTTTTGATGCTGACTGCTCAATTATTTTTGCCACTTTGGGCTTTTTAGCAAAGTAGATACTCCAGTGATTTTGAATTGCACTTTCATAAAGTTGAGGGACAAATGTAGAAAACAATGGTCAAAATTAAAGCAGCAAACGCTGAGATATGCTGGGTTTTTTTCCCCCAAGTAAAGGTCAATCTGCAAAAATGCAGGAACCTACAGTTCCCATGATTCAACTCCATAATGTATTTCGAACCATGTCTTTCAGACTCCACACCGCATATGTATGTGTGCCCATGCATACTCACTCTTGGCCTTCTCACTCTTACGTGAGGGCTTCCAGCGAATGCAGGAGCGATGATCATCCAGGTAGAAAAGTCTCACCAGCCCTTTGGATCCTGCCTTCAGCTTCACCATCTGTGTACCCGACTGCATCACACCCATGCATCGCTCCACTGCAGGAGAAAATGCACAAACACAAACACTGGGGTCAGTGGAGCACTATATTAAGACACAAAGGGAACAGGTGTCTGGCTCGTCTTTTTCTTAGGAGGAAGTAAGGCAAATTGTCACAGTGTTGCACAATTAGCGAAGCAGCCAGTGGCTGATGTGGGTCAGAGTCCAAACTGCAACAGAGATGCTACTGTGTGGACACACAGGGCTGCCTTTCTGTTCCCCACTGATCTGCTACTGAAAGCAATGGAGAGAAGGAAGAAAGAGAGAGCTCTCATAGAGAGAGGGACAGAGCCGGTGTGTGTCTCTCTGTTCTAAGTTTCACAGAGAGCTTGAAGGCTGTTCAAGAAGAAATATATCGACACATCATGCTGAGGCAGGTGGGAGCTGGGGCTGCATAAAACATAGTGAAATTGTTTTAAACTTGCAACGGCGATTCAAGATATCGGTTTACCCAAACAAAAACAAAAGAAACATCATACTTTGCTACTTGCCTCTGCAGATCATTTTGGTTTCATGTGATTGGATTTTCAACAGATGTTATTGGGATTTAGTTTGCATCGAAAAAAGAAATTCAAAAATTCAGTAGAAAAATATCTTTCCAGAATCATTGTCCCAGTTACGCTGGGTTATCCTCAAACCACCGTTTGCATTGGAACTATTTCTTTGGAATTAACTAGTCCCAATTAAATCTGTCCAGTAGAGGTTTGCGGATCATCCAGAGACACAGGGACACACATTTTGGAATTAAATGTTGCTGTTGCATTTGACCAGGGGCGTCGCTAGGCCTGTTTTAGGGGGGCTGAAGCCCCCCTAAAATGTTCTTCAGCCCCCCCAAATAATTTGGCATTATTGGCTTAAAAAAATATATATATATATTTATTTTTTTTTGGTGATGTCATTAAATTAAACTATTGTTTCTCACATGGACAAGTTATTTATAATTCTAACATGCTACATATGTGCGTGCGTTCTGGTTTGTATGTTTTCTCCCCCTTCAAATTACAATCCAATAGCCTATCATCATACTGAACGATATAAAGTTGACACTGTCAGGTCCATTCTCCATCCATTGTGTGCGGTCCCTTTAAGAATTAGGATTTGGGAGTGACGCGGATATGAAAGCTAGTTTATCCGTCTTTCTTTTACAAGTAGGACAATTATTTCTCTCTCTTTATTTGAGAAAAGTTCATATTTGTGTTGTCAAATTTCACTATGACCCTGAAATTCTGTCACTCTTTCTGATTGAACCAATCTATGAACTGTCTGAAACAATGGATATCCCCAAATGGGCCCCAAAAAAAATTGCCGCGCACTATGCACGCAAACATGCCACTCCCCTTGGGGCTAAGCCCCCCCTTTCTTTGTATCCTAGAAACGCCCCTGCATTTGACAAATATCAAAACACTTATTTATCCAAAACTATCTGCATGACTAAATACAGGGAGGGTCGGGGTAAGTGAGAAAATCTGTTTTTGTTTGTTTTGTAATTTGAGTAAATTCCCCCTTGAATTGAATGTTGGGTAGCACATTGCATCATGACTGTTTTAAATACTGTGGTAATTATAAAAGTCTCTGCCCCATCAGCTTCAACACCGTCACAACCGCGTGCTGATTGCAAACCGGTGCTTAACAATTTCCCATTGTGTGCAAGCTGATGGCTGACGGCTCACTTCCTGTCCCTGCAATGCATTGTTGTGCAACGGTATCCAGTCAATTTAATACACTGAAAAGTAAATGTAATTTCTAGCAGTCATCTACAGGCGATGGTTCAATTAAGGACACTTGAATTGAAAAGGAGAAAGAAAATAATGATGGAGTGTTCTGAAGAGGAGAACACAGTGACTGAAATGATGGTGAGAAGTGACTTTGTGTTTGTTTGCTTGCTTGACTGCCTGGCACTGTCCAGTATGAAGAAAGGCTAAAAGACAAAACTTCAAGCTTTGTACTTTCTGTGCCAGCTTGTGGCAGAGATACAGACAGGGATGACAACAGAGAGATGGTGGGATTTCCATCCTCATTAGTAGAGTATATGTGCATGCAAGCCCGAGTGTGTGTGTGTGTGTGTGCACGTGTGTGTGTGTGTATGCATGTGTTTGGCTATGAAAGTGTGCACGTACTGTAGCACGTGTTTCAGTGTATGCATGCAATATGTCTTCATGTCCACGATATGTTTACATGCATCAGTACACACATCTAGCCCATAATTTGTCTTTACAGTAAATAAAGAGGTTGACTAACATTGTTACCAGATGATGTAAGAAAATGACTCAATACAACTCAATACAACCTTGGCTGTGAAGTATTCAGTGCACCCCACGTCATTATAGTGAGTAAAAAGTGAGCAGCAAATTATGACGAGTAGGGATGAAATCACGTTGCAGCTTGCACGTGGCCACAGACACAAAGCTTTTATTTTACAAGACTCTGTGTTCCCTCTCTTAAACATCCGCTTAGTTTGATTTTCACTCCTGTCTGTAGTGAAAGAACATAAACACATATAGTAGAGGAGAAAACTGCCTGATACTGTTGTAAAAAATATATATATTATATTGGTATTGAGAGATGAAGAAATGCCTGCAGACTGCTTGGTTGTTCCTAATTCTTTTTATCCTACGTAGAAATGACAGACAGAGATGGTCTTCCTTCGGTAAAGACATTTAAACATTAAATGCGAACACAAAATAAACCATTTAGATAGATTTCAGATCTGTTACATAATACCGGGCCCCACCACTGCTTGCAACTTATAAGGTTGAAGATAGTTGTCCCCTGCCATCAGTGTGTGAATGGGTGAATGGCATGTAGTGTTAAAGCGCTTTCAGTGGTTGGAAGACGAGGAAAGCACTGTACAAGTACAAGTCTATTTACCATAACTGCCAAAACGGGAGATGAGAACTACAAGGTATTACCCGCTTCTTTGAGCACCAGAAATTGCAAATGCAGACACACACACACAAACATTAACTGGCAGCATAATGTTTACCATAACTCCAATCTGAATCCTAAACCCAATATTGTTGCATTTAGCTCTGCTCAGGGTTCCCGTGGCACATTTCCAATGTTTGGGATCAATTAAGATAATAACCTCTGCAGCAAACACCACATTTATTAGTTTCGCTGCATAAATCAAGACACTTTGTTATCATATTGCAACCACACATCAAGGATATATAAAAAAACAATTGCATTTCCTGTTTTTCCAAAATTCCTGGTTAAGATGTTAGCTATCCTACAACTAAATATAAAGAATGCTTATAATCCCAGGTGTTATTGTCTGCAAGAAATCAAAACCATGTTAGCAAACAGGCATGGAAAGTCTGACAAGGGAGCCCAATGCCTCAATGTCTTCAGGGTTTAAAACGACAAACGATAAAAGACCATTGGCCCCTTGGAAATATGAGTAATTACAAAATGTTCTAAAGTGAAAGGATTTCTAATCTCATGGAAAGTACTCACATAAAACACACACTATTAGACAAAAACATTAAAATGCAAAGTTATTGATTATCTTCAAAGACAAGTAAATTCAAACCTCTCCAGATCCATTACACATATTTAAGAATACTCAACAGAATACACGCTGAGCAAAGTACTTGATAACAGACTTTCTGTCCTGAGGATAGACTTAGCAATGACACCATTTGTTTCTCAATACTAGATGACTTCTTTGAGTTTCCGGGGACAGTATTAAACACACACAAGCATAAGCACATGGCCCTGAGCCCTGTGTGTTATCTCACAAGGTGCATGGCAAATGCACCATAATGGTCACGCAACTTGCTATGTTGATAACACAGTGGAGGATGTGGGAAGAGAAACAACCAGCCATGTAAACAAGAGATTAAGCCAAGTTTGATACAGAAATAACACCACTATGGGCAAATACAACAACTAAAATGAATTAAAAACTTTTTTTTTCTGAACCACTTGAGCAAATGTATTGCTTTGTATAATGGTTTGAAGCCACATTCATTCATTTTTTTACACATCAAGCAGACATAGTGTAACACAGGCATTCATTACGTCCAACACTCACTCTTGTTTTAACTCTGTCTGTGGTCTCCACCAACTCATCAGGGAAATATGTAGCTCAATAGCTGCAAACTGCTGCATTATGTTCACTAGCTTGTCGCTAACTGTCTCTGCTGAGTTGGGTGATATTTCTCCGTGTGCTCGACCCCGTTCACATTATACATTGTCATTTTAATCCATTTTTCTAATATGAAAATGTTGAAGAGTAAAGTCAATATCATTCATATATTACAGTATATATTGAGATTAAAGATAACTCTTGCTTCTAATCATATAAATGATTTGATCATTTATCACATTGTAGGAATCAATGCGAACTCCTCTCTGCTCATAATGTTTTGGCAAGTATCGTATAGCATTGTGACAACTCTTCAGAGCTGCAGAAGATAATGGGACACTGAAGACTCGGGGAAAGAGAATTAATCAGCAAGAAGAAAATAGGTCGTTTTGAATTATTTATCTCACATAGCACCTTCTGAAATTCACAGCGTCATTAACGATGGAATTCAATGGAGGTCACTGTTAAATATGGGTTTACTGTATATTGATCACGTCCACAGTCTCTGCTCCAGTGAGCAGGCATGTTCTTCTGGGATCTTTGATCTCACACCATTTCAAGCTAAAAAAAAAAGACTAAAATAAGCCTACAACACTTTTCCAGTGCTTACATATGTCACGACATAAATCAGGCCCAAAGTGAATACGTGCTATACGCCATCACTAGAGAGTACATGCACATTCTCTCACAATTCCCACGGAGGAAAAGTATGTAAGAGTGTTTTTTCCAAAAGGCAGTCAGATATATTTCACAAGAAAAAGCTAAAAGGGAATACAGAAGTCTGCTTTATTTTGATCAAGCTTAACAGTCAATATGAACAGAGGACTGACATGTACAAGTATCAATTCATCGTATGTTAGTCTGTTTCTTTGGATCAAAGGATACTCCTTATTGTTGGTTCTTTTTTTCTCCAGTGGTGTATCTGTCTTTACTCCTTGACATTTCTGCAGGCACTCCACCGTCACTTTACTCTCCATCAGCCTCGATAATGACCATGAAGAGTCAAACCTCAGACCTACTGAGGCCGACGATGGCTAGGCAAGAGACCCAAGGAGAAGCGATTAATATTCGCCCTGGAGAGGGGAGCTGCCTCGTAATCAAAGATGAGAACTGATGTAAGTGGCTCTCAAAAGAGCAACGATGGCTGAATCAAAGGATCAGTGAGTGCCCTTCACATCTTCACTCCCATCTCTTGTCCCATTTTCCCTCAGGCATCAACGCTCAAACTATCTGAGCGTGAGGATTGAAATGTACAGTTTAGTTTAAACTTGCAATTCCGGTATCTTTTTTGGACATCTGAAAAAAAATGAATTGAATATCTTCTTAACCCCACCTGGCATTTATATGCAGGTTATCCTTCCTCGTGCTTTGCTGTCGGTGGTTACAGTAGCTCTGCTTTGCCAGTTCTCTCCTTGCAACCTCACAGAAAAGACAAACTCAACCAAAGTATTAAAAGAATAGGATTTTCAGCGAGGTAAGAGAATTAAAAAATATATGTAAAACATCTTTTTTTCTCGGTCCCACCTCTACCTTTTGGTTCCCATTTCTTTTGAGTGATAGAGTACGTGCGTGTGCATTCACTGTGTTTGTCTTGATGTGCGCATTTATGTGCACGTGCCTAAACTCATCATCTCTGTCGGTGCAGAGCAGAGAGAGCACATCAAAGCTTTGTCTTGCCACAGAGGCCCAGGCAATTCAAATATATTTTAATGGGGTAGGTGATAGAGACGACTCTGTGATAACCTGATGAACAAAGCCGTCCTCGCTCAGGTCCATACAATGACGCTGAGGCCGGGACAGCAAACAACAGCATCCACAGCAGTTTCCATTCCTCATTTTCAATCTAAACTGTCATTTTTTTTTATCTCAACATGATGAGATGATGATGAGCTGTAGCCTTCTTACTATGAGTTTATTATCAGTCAGGAGTAATATTTCAATTCTTGAACAGCTCTGCGTGAGATCTCTGTTAAGATTTGGTCAGAGGGTGATGACTCGAATGGACCACCAAAGATTTATCATAAATTATTCATAACTACATAAATTCATATTCAGCAGCATCTGCCTGATCCTTCATGCACTATTCATGTGACATGAGGCACCACTACCCGAACTATCCAAGCCAGTCCGACTGTTGATGAAACACAAACACGGCAACCAAACCGCTGCTCTGTTAGCTCTCATGACCTGAAGGTTTGTTTTGTGTGCTGAAGTTTAATCAAGATGTGATTCAGTTTTGGTTGACTAACTGTACACAGGACACAAATGAATTACATTTACACATGATTATTGCTCTGGTGGTAAAAAGGCACAGAAATCTTCTCCTGCATGAGCAACATCTCATTAAGACAAGCTTTACAGGTTCAAAGTTATGGAGGCCGAAAGTGAGCAGTTTTATCGTCCTGGGGATATTCTGATACATAAACATGAGCTCTTTTCCTGTGCTATAAATAGCACCAACAAGCAGTATGTTCAATATGCAGTATGTTTGTCCCCACACACATTTAGTCTGTAGACGACAACCTGCGAAATAAGAAACACACAAGATCTATCAATTTAAGTGTTGAGCGGTGGAAAACGTTTGTTATTTTCAATGGGTTTCCTTCTGTAAGGCACACTGAGTTATAGCGTTTAGACTCACAAACAAACACAAACACACAGAGACTTACCAATTTGTGTAAGCCTGCATTTCTGTGGTACAGCCACGGTGCCACTAATGTGGTAGACGTTACGCGCCAGGAGAGTCGCGACTCTTAACGCAGACGATTTTTCAGCAGGACCATAAATAAAAGCCGATCGAACTTTATTCGCAGGTAATGCAGTGGGACCAAAACTAATTTCCTCCATTTTTTCGGCAGTAAATAAGGAGCCAGTAGGAGTCCTCCTTTGCTCAGTCCCAGTGTGCAATACACTCCACCTGTAGCTAAAACCCCTTTAAAAATAAAAAGATTTTGGTTTTCCTCACATCGGACTTGACTCCAGAGTGGCTTCAGACAGAAAACCTTCACGCTCCAGACAACAAGCAATCACACCAAAACTCCTGCTGTTCATCGTCCTCTGTACCGTCCTGTGATCTGTGGCGGCACCCTCAACTGACAGTCTTCTCTGTGCAAACACACACACGCGTTTCCACCTTTCTCCTGGTCATCTGTTCTCCACTCCCCCTTCCTGCACTTCCCATCTACCTCCCCTCTCTCTCTGATGTTTGCAGTCTCTCAGAAGATGTGCTGCTGTTTCAGTCTGCTGCCAACAAGCTACCTACCCTGCACGGACAAAAAAATTCAACATTTAGCAGCTCCAGCATTGTTGTGTAGTTTATGGCGCGATTATGAAGAGTGGAGTGCAGCAGATGTGTGTCTCTGCATATCAGCTGGGTTCACTGAGGTCAACCGGTGGGATACGGGGATAAGAACGATGACATAACATTCATGATAATGCCTTACTAAAAGTAAGATTTAATGGGTTGACCTGTGGGATGTGTGTGTGTGCTGTCCATCTGTCCGTCGTGAACTAAATGCTCTTCTATTTCACACAGGCTTTGCCCTCCTGAGGGGGAAGTCCTCTTTGCTCACTTTTCCCTATGTGTAGCTTACTGATATTTCCAGGTACTGGATCCTCAAACCAGGGAGAGCCTGGTCATTTGACTTTGACAGAAAACTCATGGAGCTTTATCTTCTGGGAAAAGGGCTCAATGGCAAGCTATATCCAGACGCAAATACAAATGGGTATGATAAACAAAATGAGCAATTCTGGCAACCAGGCACAGCCTGACGCATCATGGAAGAAGTGAATATATTACCAGTGGGAAAGTTGTGTGGGGCTATATTTATTTTTTTGTATTGTTTTTTTCAGATTAGTTTAGCAGGCTGCTCGATTTCTGATATCACTGCAATAGTGTAAATCAAAGATGGTAAACCTGAAATTACACCTAAAGCAGTCTCATGCAACATGTTCTTACTCCCAACTCGTCAAATACAGTAGCTTGGTCATTGGCCCTGCGCTTGAAACTATGATGCTCTAGCTTCAGTTTTGGATGTTTCAGGGACGGCGTGTCATTTTCCGGTTGTCTCATCACATCTTCTTCTTTAATATAGTTCTGAATTTGGGGTTACGTCATCAGATGTCGGCCCCGTTTCGCTGATCCTCTCGGGACATTCAACAGCTTGTGAAATGAAATTAGTCAGGCGCGCACAGCTTCAGCTTGATGACTTCGGGATAAATGTGAGGGGAAATCAGGCTGCAGGATGGATGGACAAAAGCTGGTAGCATATTTGTGACAGTACTGAGCTTGAGCCTTGGGCAAAATCAAAACTCCATCACCTGCTCCACCAGTGCGATGGCCAGCAATGTGACTACTGGGTGGTCTTATTTCTGTTTGTATCTGTTCAGCGTCGTGGAGGCACGGAGCCTCATGGAGCGTGCATTAGAGGTGGAGGGCCAGCCTGAATCAGTTGTAAGTCGGGGCCAACACAGATAGACAGACACTCATACCAGTGGGACAGCTGGAGTCTGATGTGTGTCGTTGGAAGGAAACAAAGAGGAAACCTGCATGAAGGCAGAGATAACATGCAGACCGAAGGGACTAGAGCTAAACACTAAGCCACAATGTCATTCACTGGGTGATTTTTTTTTTAGTCAATGAAAAAAAAACAGGGAGAGCGCACGTCCAAAAAATGGAAACAGGCAAACAATGCAACCACTGTGATTCTGATATGTGATAAATTTTGATTGGTGCATCGAAAAGCCTGAAATTTCACTATCAAAATGTCATTATTTGGTTTTCAACTGAAGAATAACACCAGCCTTAGCTGTACTTTCTGTGTAGTGCAAATTAATGGTAACATATTAAACAAACACGGTGAACATGGTCAACATTGTACCTGCTAAACAGCAACATGGTAGCACATTATCATTGCTGATGTGAGCTCAATTTGGTTTTCAGGTTTGTTTGTTTTTTTTTAACCATATTTTCATGTAATTCCTGACTACCTAATGCACTGTATAAATCATGAATAACGTGAAGTTCTTAGTGACTCTGATAAATAGCTGCTAAGACTAGCAGTAATAACAGTTAATCCATGATGATGATGCATGAAAATGGCAGCTTATCACTGGAAATGTTTCCTCACTACTTCAACACTTCACATTCTACAGCAGCATAATGCTGGTGAGTCTTAAATATTCACACCCATAGGGGGACAAATTCAAATGTAAATACCTTTTTAAGCCAACTAATTACACAATACTGCATGAAAGATGTGTGGTGTACCCTCTTATTAGCAACATAAAAGGTTAGGATGCAAAGGGAAATGATGAGCGAAAAAGCGGGAAAACACACACTATTATCTCACAGTCGCTCACGTCGTCTAATTAAGAGCACCCAGGGCAGCGCTCAAACCAGCCAATGCTACAAATGGGTTTCCAGGTCCCCCCAGGGTGCAGAGGGTTGCGCGACACCGGAATGAAAATAAACACATGACAACTGCAGCATGATAATGCATTCGCTAAAGATGCTACCCGCGGCTCCCCGAGTGGCAGAGTTCAGCACTGACATCAAAGGAGGGAGCTGAAGCCTGAGTGTTTTGTGTGTGACAGAGCATGAGTATGTGTGTGTGAGTGTGTGTGTGTGTGGGGGGTGAGGTTATGTATTGATGTTCACGCAATGTCCAAGCTTCTTTTTTTCCCCTATCTAAACCAGCCAGGATGACTGTGAGTAGATTGAGACACGGTATCTTTGGCAGCAGAGCTAGACTGACACGCAAACTGATACAAATGTTGGAGAGAAGCTGTGCTGTAGCTGCTTTTCTGGTGCTTTTTTTTCAGGACACAGGAGAAGCCTGAAAGTGAAACTTCTTAATTGCTGAGGGAATGGATGTACATGAAATAAAAGCCAGTGGTTATGTATGATTTGCTTTTCATTTCTCACATATACATCGGAGATACGCAGCCTTATGAAGACGATAGCCTCCCAGTAGGTTTTAGAAGTTGACGTTTCACATTCACTGCCGTACTTGATGCAAAAACAAATGTGAGGTGCCAGTGGCTAAGTCAAGATGCAGGTAGACACAGTAACTTGTTGTCCGTGAAATTAAATGCAAAATATGGTGCTTCAGCATCAAAGTGTAAAACACAAAGATGTGTGTTAGTGGCTCCCTGGATATCAGAGATGTGAAGCTAGTCGATGAACAGTGGTAGGGCTGGGTATTTTCTAAAATGATTCAACAAAACCTGAGTTTCAGCACCAGTTTCATAATATTACTTATTTTGATACCTTACTTTGAGCAATTTGTTTTCAGAAAAAAATCGAAAATTGGCAAATTTGTTTAACTAATTGGAACTACCAGATCAGATATTCAACATCAGCTTTTGGCACTTGACAGTTTATTACTTTGTGCTACAGACACATTTCAGTCGCTAAAAGAATTAAGGTTTGATACCTTGCCATAAGGAGAGGAGAGGAGAAGTAGTCATTGAAATGTTCTGGTGCTACCTCACTTACTTTGAGAAATGTGCCTAAATCTGCCATGAGCAAATCATAGATCAGTAGATATTTGATGTTCAGTGCCTGCCTTTTGGTACATTACGGCTTTCAATAGTCATACTCAACACATTTCCGTCAGTAACAATAAAGTATTTAGGAGAGGAAAGGAAAGGAGATTGAAAATAACAAAAAAAAAAAGAGGAGAAGAGCTGAAAGGATGAGAGTGTGTTCCTCCCCTGGTGTCTGTTAGCTGTTTATCTGGCCTGCAGCGACAGAAAGGAAGAGGCAGAGACAAAAGGGGGTGCATGCTGAGATTCATCATCATCATCAGTACAGGAGAGACACATGAGGAAAAACACATTTTACATGGAAAAGCCATTTCCTCCATGTGGAGGAGATTAGCAGCCATGCATGTGCCTCCAAACATTCCTCCCTCCATCATTTTCTCTCCTTTTCTCTCTCAGCAAGGGCCCGTCTTCTAAGCACAAGTGTTGCCAAAATGAATTAAGAGACAGCCCTCTTGGCCATTGAAGAAAGCTGGAACCTCCCTCTCACACCCCAACGCTCACATAGATAAAGAAAAGCAGGCGCTGTAGGGGTGAAGACTGACAGCTTGACACATCCTGGTTTTTAAGTGCCAGGCATGCCTCATATTTTTGACAGCGTACAGGGGAGAGCAAAGGGGTCACTCTAATAGCCAGGGGACAGTTTGGACTTACATTTTGTCATCAAAGCTCGACCCAAAGCAGACATGCTCTGTCTGGGTTTCAAGGGGTTCCTTCTGCTAATGCTGATGACAAAAACAATCCACTGCTGTTACTGAGTTCTGGCATGCGGTAATGCTGTGTGATCTGTAAGTCTCTTAGGCAGCTTCTCAGGCGCTGCAGTGACAGAACCCATAAACATTTTTGTGACCACTGCAGAGGATGCAGGATGGTAAAGAACAGGCACGTACACACCTATGTGATGCATGATGCTATATGGTCTGAGGGCAGAGCAAGTCTTGTCAAATCAACAAATTAAAAGGCTTGTCTGCCCCCTAGTGACAAGAACAAAGGGGCATTTTGAGGGACAGTTTCCCGCTACTCCAATGATGCTCTTCATCATGAGCTTTCATATCAACTGACAAAAACAGTTTATAAATCAAATGCACATTTAAAAAAACATAATTCGGATGTGTTGTACCCCAAATGTCAATAAACATTAATTATTACACAATAAAGCCTTCATGCTAATTGGCAATCCTCAATTAAGATTAATTACTCTGCTGTTTGTAACAGCTTGGGGGATGACATTTCTGCACAAAAACAAGCGCAATGGAGAAATTACGCATGGGCTTCCGGTTGCTTGCAATGTGGAATACTCGGCATCCAAAGGAATGCATCCACCACACAGTATTTCTCTCCATATGTGACTGAAAGATGAAATAACCAAACGGGAAAAAAGGCATGAAAATTATAACTTACCCTTCTCCAAACTGAGATTTCTGCAAACTTCAAGTTCTGCCATTTAGGACTCGAGTTGTTGATCTCACAAGCGCCGTCCATGCGTTTTGGACATCATTTTATCTCCTAATTGCAGCAGCTCAAAAAACCATCAAACTGTGCCTGACTAGTCCATTTCTCCATGATGATTGGACGTTCACATGAAATGCGCCATGATAATCAAGTGTCACTTTTTTTTGTAGTAAAAACGAGCCCAGAAACAAGCTGCTCCTCGACATCTGCCTCCCCTGTACGATCTGTATAGTGGGTTCTCAAACCTCTGACATCCACAGCCGCTGCGCGCACATCCGCTCCTCTCACCAGCCGCAACACACAGGCAAAACGATAAGCGGATTCCTCACACGCTCGTTGGAGCGACGGAGAGTGGTTGTTAATAAGCAAGAGATTACTCAATGCATGGACTGAGCATGGACGCTGCTCTGTGTTAAACGCACAGAGCAGTGGCTTAACCGCAAGAGTTGGACATTTTGGTTGATTTCATCAGCTTTGCCCGACAGTCTGGTTCAGCTGTGTGGCGACAGTTTGAATTCCCACCAAACCGAACTCGTGTCACATACGTTTGTTTGTTTGTTTTTGGTCAGCCATCCCTCAGTGTATATCCTAAAGAGTCCCCATTGCGCAGGGATGCCAGCGCTATGACCTACTTTACGCTCTCGGTATGTCTCTCGTTTTGTGCTTCCTCAAAGGGGTAGCAGGAACATGAGGGTAGTGTGCACACTGGGGCCCGTTTCCCAAGAGAAAGAGAGACAGAGCCCGCGAGTTCTGTTTAACTATGTATTTATAGTTTAGCTTTTAAAACGTGTAGGTGTGTGTGTGTGTCCAGCCTCAGATGTATGCTAGTCAGTCCCTTAATGAAAGTTTTGGCCAATCGGGAGCTCCCAGATTAGTCTTCCTCATTGGTCCATGTTAAAGCCATTTAATTTAAGATTGCAGGAGACAATTATGGAGTGACCAAGCACACTCAGCCACACACACACTTGCACGCACACACAGTTGTGTTCAGACACTGAGAGCCAGAGGCAGAGGTTACCAAATCGATAAGTGCTGTCTGGAGGAATAAAAAGACATGTCTGACCACCAGTGTCACCCTCAGTCCAATGCTGCAAGACTATGTGTGTGTGTGTGTGTGTGTGTGTGTGTGTGTGTGTGTGTGTGTGTGTGTGTGTGTGTGTGGTGTACACTGTGTATTTGCAACTAGACATGGGGCTTTCCAGTGATTGCTCACTTTTGATTTAAGTTGTAAACCTCTTTTCACCCACACCTGCCTGATCACAGACAGCCCGCCTCCACCCCCCTCAAGCCCCCTTCTTACACTGATTTATGAACCATGTCCAGACAAAAACCATCAGCCAATCTGTCATTCACAAAAGAGTGGAAACAACTGGAAGGAAGGGAAAGAGGCGGAGTGAAGCAATTTCATGCGGAAAATTGACAGGAAAAGCGGCAAGAGGCAGATGTTTACAAAATGGTTCTGTGTGACAATTAAGGACAAACCGTGAGGGACACAAGTGGGGAATACAGACAGAGATCAGGATCTTAAGTCTGGTAAAGATATACAATGTATTCACTTTGTTCTGTTTCTGTTTCCTTTATCCCTTTTAGCAGCCTGGATATAATAAATGTGACTATGTGACTAGATTAGCATCAGAATATGTTTTCTTGTAAGAAAATGGATTGGAGGGGGTAAAGGGTAGTGCAGCTTATTTTTATTATTTTTATATTTTATAAAATGTACTCCCATTTCATGCTCTGTATTCATTGTAACAGTATAAAATAATCACAGATTCTCAAGGAAAAATCTACTTTGACTTGGAAAAACATATTTGCAAAGGGACAAAATCAATCAATATTTCTACGCATGAACGAAGGAAGGGGAAGGGGCTAAAAGTACACACTTGTACACAGTCTGCAGGGGTGGGATGTGGACGCTGGCTATAGTAAGTCAAGGTGAGGCGGTCTCTTCCGCTGAAGGTGTGACAGCCACAAAGGCAGACCGAGATCAGAGATTTATTCTGGATTTGTCTGGCAGATCTGTCAGTGTGTGCAGCCTGACTGCCTCGAAACTCATAAATCATGATCAAATTGATGTCTGGATTAATGTCAGCTTTATGGAGAAAGGCAAATGCACTATTTGCTGTTGTTCATTGAACCATACAACATACCGGTATACAGCTTTGCATACATGTGTCAGGTTATTTAAGCCAATGCATGCAAATATTTAGTAGAAAAACAGTACGTAAATACCAGTAATAAGGTTTTATTGAGGTCACAAGACTGAATCTTGGCTGTGTTGTCTGCAATATAAAAGCTTGAGCGTTTGAGGCACAATAATGGAGACGAGTCTCCCTCTACTGTTCATTCCCATGACGTACAGTTATCAGAGAATATGGACATACAGTCTGCCCATTATTCTGTTCCAAGAGAGAGAGAGAGAGAGACTGAGAGAGCACCTGATTCTGTGTGAACCTTCATTAATAGGTTTAGTTATTAAATTGTGTGTGTGTGTGTGTGTGTGTGTGTGTGTGTGTGTGTGTGTGTGTGTGTGTGTCACTGTATTTACCATGAAAGGTGCTGTTGTCTGTTAGGAAGTGCCGGCGGTACTGTGGCTCTCCTTTCCTGTTCACAACCCAGGAGCTCATGGTGGGAGAAGGAGGGACGGGGGAGGATGAACAATTGGATGACCTGTAGGGGAGAAGAGAGGTTTTTTTTTTGTATTATAATTTGCTCCCTTTCTGGACAGGACGACTTTGAGGGGGAAAGGCAAACATTTCAAATTACATTTTCATGAATCGTGGATTCTTGAGAGAGTTAGAAGAAAGTTTCATATTTTAGAACTGAGTGACCATTACAATTACAGAAAATGTTGTGTGCAAAGAAGACAATTTATGCAACTTGGAAGTATATAGAGGGAATTACAACCAAAACTGTCCCTGTACTGCAGTTAAACTTCATCCTGTGATTCCACCATTTGTGAAATTATAAGACGTTTTTGTCCAGTTTTACTTAGTTAGGCTTTTATTTTGAAATGTTAAAATTATTTTGTTAGTGTCACCACCTCTTCCATGCCTTAACACGTAGTAAGTGTTTTCGGGTCTCTTCAAAAATGTTATTGTTATTGTGATCAAAATCAGCATGTAATTGAATGAATTGAATTACAGTGACAGCTTATAGCTGCTTAACCTACCAATGGGCCAGGCTCTTTGCTGTCTTTCCAAAAGTCAATCAGAACTCGAGTCCTCACTAAGACCAAGAAAGTGGATCACATCACTCCAGTTCTGAGGTCTTCGCACTGGCTTCCTGTCCAACAAAGAATTTACTTTAAAATGCTGCTGTTGGTTTATAAAGCACTGAATGGTTTAGGGCCAAAATACATCTCTGATCTGCTGCTCCCTTATGAACCATCCCGACCCCTTAGGTCGTCTACTTTCTGTTCCCAGAGTCAGAACTAAACATGGAGAAGCAGCGTTCAGTTTTTCTGCTCCACATATCTGGAACAAAGTCCCAGAAAGCTGCAGGTCTGCTGAGACCCTCCGCTCCTTTAAATCAAGATTGAAGACTTTTCTGTTTGCTGCTGCCTTTAATTCAACCACATTCAAGGATGTTAATCAATTTCCTGCATTTTACTATAGGCCTACTACTGTATTTTATTTCTTACACTGCTTTTCAGTGTTTTAATGACTGTTTTTAATGTTTCAATCAATGTACTTAATTGTTTTTAAATCTCCTTTTCTTTTGCCTTATGTTTTGATGTTTTTAATTGTTTTATGTGAAGCACTTTGAATTACCTTGTTGTTGAAATGTGCTGTACAAATAAACTTGCCTTGCCTTCTACCATGAAAACATTATCCGATCCTCCTCTTTACCGAACTGTCATCCGGCAATTTCCCGACCCGCTATCTAGTTCTTCTTGTCCAACTTTTTGTACACTTTTAATTCCTACTTCTTTCTCGATGTGTTCTTATTCATCCTACTTTTGTTTCTCCTGGCCGTTATTCCCGGATTCCCAATTTTCCACTATTTCCTCCTGATCACTTTTCATTCCTGCCAGTTTGACCGCTTAGTGTTTCCTCACCTGTTGCTCATCTGTCTTCCTCTGATTTACTGCATCCCACTACAAACACACACACACACACACACACACACACACACACACACACACACACACAAACACACACACACAAACACACACACACAAACAAACACACACACACAGGAGATGTATAGATCCGGAAAGGCTCGGAGCCTCTGAGACAGTTATTGGCGTCTGGTGCCGGCTGACCTGAGAAGAGGTGACTGTCTGGTGGAACACGTAGAGCTCACGGGTTAAGTATCTTTGAGGTGAAAGTACTTTCCTGTGACCCCGCCACCACCTCACTTTAAAACACAGAAGGCTGCTGTGTCTGTGATGTTTATGACATGGTTTATGATATGGGACAAAGACCCACTCATTCTGTGAATATGACACCCATGTCATGGCAAATTAGCGTGTGCATACAGTGCAGAACTCCACCAAAAGCTGGATAACTGTATAGCATAAATGTATTGTAGCACCAGTTTGTTGTATAATGCAATGAATCTCTGTTCTCTTACTATAGTTGTAGATTAGATCAGCAACGTTTAAAATCTGTTCCTTTGAATATTGTAAGACCTTTTTATCATCAGTAATATTTTATCATTAGTTATTAAATATTAAGTTGTACTCAGGTGATGACATGGATAAAAACACAAAGGGGAAAGTGTTCAAAGAAAAACAGCAAAAAGAAAAGTAGAAAAGACCTCTATGATGGTCTCTTAGAGCAAATATTTGTGATCATCCTATAATCTGGTGGTACTTTGGTAGAGAACCAAATAGAGCTTTGATCAAGTTGGTGTTTCCTTCATGTTATGAGCATAAAAAGTCATCAGAGGCTTTTCTTCATAGTCATTAAACTCGGCTTCACCTCACGCCTGCAACG